AGCAAAAAAAACCAAAAAAAAATTTCAACGGAGCCTTTTAAGTGAAGCTAGGCTCTTTTTTCGTATTTTTCTCTAACCAAGCTACTTTGCATCGTACTGACCATGCTATTTTGTAGCTAATTTTTGTTCTTTGACTACTGGTTTTACTATATTACTACTGAAGTGTCTACAGAGGCTTTATGAACCTGGTTTACTTAGTGTGCATGCTTTGAATCTCTTTGTATAGGCTTTGTACGTCTCTCTACAGGTCTTGTATCTCTCTTTACTGACTTTGTATCTCTGTTATACTTTACTTACTAAGTTTGTATCTTAACCTAGCTCTATTTACTGGTCATAATACCTAATTCAAGCCCATTTATTGGCCATAACACTTAGTTTAGGCTTATTTACTAGCTATAATACTTGATTGTGAAGCTTACCTACTAGCCATAAGGCTTGATTTAAGCTTACCTACTGGCCATAACATTGTGTTTAATCCTATCTACTGATCGTAACACCGTGTTTAAGCCTAGCTACTAATCATAACGCCTTATTTAAGCCGTTACTGATTATACCGCCTTACTTAAGCTTAGCTCTTAGTCATAATACATGCGTCAAATCTATATACTAGCCATACTATCTATTGCAAGCCCATCAACTGGCCACAATACTTAGTTTAAGCCTAATTTTTGGCCATAACACCCACTTCTAGCCTACCAACTAACAATTCTTTCACCGCCAAAACAAGCCAAAGCTACACTCTACCACCCCCTCTATAATCCCCACAACTATCTCTGCCACCCTTTCTCCAACCCGCACTATATAACGCTTTATCATCCGCCTTTCACGTCTGCAGCCTTTCGGCCGCTATCTCGCCGGCCGCTTTTCTACCACGACGACACGCTCGACATAACATGGAAGAAAGAGTAACTACCTAGGAGATAATTCGCTCTCCTTTCGAACACTTATTCGAATATTATTTTGGACCGTTTTTGTTTGAAGGTGTTGGGATCAACATTGGTACTGATACTTGAGGTTTTGTACTGTTAATACTGGAAGTTTTGTACTGAATAGCACGGTTTGTGCTAAATAGTATTGAAGTATTGAGGTTAATACTGAAGAATATTGAAGAATCTACTAAAACAGAAGGTTTTAAAGGCTAGAAAGTTAGATGGACTAGAAATTTCTAGCCTTTTTGATCAAAAAAAGATATTTTCAAGGCTATTATCTACAATAATATCGACTCAAACTTCAATTTTTTGGCTTTTTACAGCTTTTAACTCAACTTTTTGAACTTCAACTACCTTGAAACCTCCTTTAACTTTACTTTTAACCTCTACAACCAATCAAAACCTACAAAAAATTTGAAATTTTTTAAAATTTCAAAAATTTTTTTGGGCCGGATTAGCATTAAAAGTACTGTTTTGGACATAGTGCGACATAAGAAACTAAAAAACGGATATTTCAAAATTATTTACGAGCCGTTTTGGGGTGTTGACAGCTCGCAAACTCTACATTCTAAACAAGTTTGGCCGCTTGGACATATTGTGCTACATGGTCGTCTTACATTGCACTTGACATATTGAGATATATAGAGCTACAACTTTATTTTTATTGATACGACGGGCTATTTAAAAGGCTTGGCGTTAGCTACAGATTAGTTGGTTAGCTATTGGAAGCTATTTTGATATCAAAACGCCTATTATAACATCATTTTTCTACTGAACTACGTACTACAATATCGACAGTAACATCAACCAAAAAACTTCTCTAATTTAGAATTGCAGACCAATTAGCCTCGTATTTTACCTTCAAAAAGCAACAAGATTTTTTTCAACTTCTACTTTATCGTACTATCCACATAACCAGCTAACATAACATCTACAACTAGAGACATGCCAAATCCAGCCGGCTCTATACCGTAGGCTTTGAAGCTTATAAGTGTGGATTTGAAGGCTCAATTCTAAAAAGTTTAGAAAAGTTTAGCATTGTTTTAACAGGTTCTGGAAGTGGAGAATGTACTAGGACGGCTAGTTTGATACTATATATCAACAGCAAGTTTCTACTATAGTAGTACCAGTTGTACCATTCTAAATACTATTAACGGTTCTACAGCGTATCACTTGTACTAAAAGTTTAAAACAGTACTACTCGTATTAACATTTATACAGTACTTGTACTATTTTGCTCTACAAAGCCTTAAGACAACCTACAGTACTTCACTCTACAAAACATCGTTCTACAGTACTAAAAACCCCAAAAGAAGATAATAACAATGTTATACCTTCTCTACAACGCTACATACTAGAAAAACTACAAGTCTCGTACTATGCCATCCCCACCAACAGTACGCAGGTCCAACCTGGACCTACCACAATGTCCAGAAAGGCCTCATTCATCGATGGAGAGAAAGCAGGATCGGCCGACGTTGAGGAAAGAGTTCAAAGGCAAGTAGTGGAAAGTGGTGTAAAATACTAGCTTTTCTTCTAATCGTAACAAAAATGTTTTTTTATTTTTACGAGCATACATTTGGCCATTTGAAAAAAATAGGTGCAAAAAGTTTTGAACTTTCTAACGTCTACATTACTGTGCTTAATACAGTGTTACCAAAAAGCTTTACTTAGGCTTCTCATGTATTTTTACGTCGGGCGGGTAATTTTTTTCGGGGTAAAATAGAGTGGGGTAATATAAAGAAAGGTTGTTGGTTGGGGATATGATAAAGAAGGGTAAAGTGCACAAGAGTGCGATGGACTAGGTTAGTGTAGAGTAGAGTAGGGTAGAGAAAAGTGAATCAGAGAAGGGTACTCTAGCGAAGGTTAAAATAGGGTAAAGTAATGTAGGACGGGTTTCAGCAAAGAAAGGTAGGGTAGGACTAAGTAGAGGAGAGTCGATTTTGTAAGGCTTGACTAGGACAGTGTAGGATTGGGTAAAGGTCAAATAAGATAAGGCATGACTTGTGTAGGGTAGGGTAGGGTAGGGTAGGGTAGGGTAGGGTAAATCTTTTCTCCCTGGACTGTATCAAAAATTGTTAAAAATATAATAACTTATTCACGTGGGAAACGTAATGAGCTCTTTCTCAGACGTCTATTTTCTGCTAATTGCACAAACTTAATTAAACATTTGAGGGCTTCTTATAAACAACCTCGTCTCCAAAGTATTTTTTTGAAAAAAATAATATTTTTGGTTATTCAGGTTGTAATTGAACATTTTAATTTGGTCATGAAAAGTTTTGACTTATATTGTAGTAGATGCTGAATAGTACCCAACTTTACCTTTTGTTTATCTTGTTATCGTACTATTTTAATATTGTAGTACTATATTGCGTATTGTACTGCTATAGAAGCTCACAATTTTGGCTTCAAAAGCCGTTTTTAAAAGTTTCACTATGATGTCTCTATCAAGCTGTTGATGTTGTACTAAATTTTTTTGTCATGAGGTTTTACTGTATTATGCATTTTTGTGTCAGTTTAAAACCACATTTTTAAATAAAAAAGTTTCATAGTGAATGGAAGAGGTCTTATTGAGGTACTGATGTTGTACTAGGGCAAAACCTAACAGTATTGGACTAAAATTTTTTGTCATCAGTTTTTACTGTATTTTGCATTTTTTTGTCAGTTTAAAACCATATTTTTATATAAAAATGTTTCATAGTGAACAAAAGAGGTGTTTCAAAAAAAAGATTTCTACAACGCTACATACTAGAAAAACTAGGTGTTATTGAGGTATTGATGTTGTACTACTGTCGAATCTCACAGTACTAAACTAAACAAAAATTTTCACTGTATTCTTGCAACCGTATTTTACATTTCTTTTACTTTTTGAGCCTATATGTTTAATCTAGATTCGTCTAAATTATTTGGCTTACACAAATTTTTAAAACACATTTAAAAACTGTTCAAAATTCGACCAAAAACTGAGCAAAACCTGACCAAAAAGCCAAAGATTATACCCAAAAACCTCTAATGATTCATTTCGAATGATTCGAAAAAGATAAATTACAGCCTAAAACCGTAAAAAATGAAAGTAAGATTTGTCTACAATGCTTTTATGGCCATAATGACATTATGGGGGGAAGCGTTTGAACCTCCAACCAATTTTAATTATGAGCCCTCCGGGGTTTTTGTCTTTTTCTGCGAGAAACTGAAGGAAAATTAAGTCGTTCTGGGATTTTATTTTGCTAGAAATGCATTATTATTGGTTGGAAAATGTTTTTTGAGTTTGAAATTTTACTTTAGGCTTGTGACAAGTTATACGATGAATCTCATATGTCTTTATAAAAGAAATTCTTGGCATTTTATAATTTGTAAAGAAAGTTCTTGCTCTTTGTGCTTTGTAACAAAAGTTCTTGCTATTTTTAAGAAAAGTCCTTGCCATTTTATGTTTTGTAAAGAAATTTCTTGCGGTTCAAAAAAAAAGTAAGAAATGTTTTAAAAATTATAATACTTAATTTTATTGCTACCTAAAATATCATTGTTTTTCATAAAAAGTCTATTTTTAACTAACCAACAAGGTTTTTGGGCGCGCAGCCTGCAGGTGACAAGTTATACGATAAATCGCGTTTTATAGTTTGTAATGGAAATTACCGCCTTTTTTAAGTTTTGTAAAGAAAGTTCTTGTCATTTTAAAGTTTTTAAAGAAAGTTTTTGTCATTTTAATTTCTGTAAAGAAACTTCTTGCCGCTTTACATACTGTAAAGAAAGTTCTTACCACTTTATGCTTTGTAAAAAAAATTCTTGTCTTTTTGTGTTTTTTAAAGAACTTTTTTGCCTTTCTTAACATCAAGTTCGTGCCATATGAATAGTTTGTCTGTATACTATTTATATTGTAAATGTACTTCTACGTGAAGAGGTACGCGCGCCGTGTTTTACCTTAATTAACCATTTCAAACCTTCTAGAAGCTGGTCAGCTAAAACAAATGAGACATAACTCATTTTGAAGCCATTATCGGTTATCAAAATAAAACAGCGAGAAAATGGCTGATAACCTAATACAACTCTTTCTAATAATCAAAGTCTAAAATAATGTCGCGAGAGAATGGGACTGCCAAGTTTGGCAAGGTCTTCGGATGCAAGGGTAATTTGTTTCGTACTGGTTTTGGCGCTATTTTGAAGTTGTGTTCAAATGGTTACATTTTTTTTTATTTTTTTTGAGCGGGTTAATTTTTTTTTATTTTTTTTTAAATGGTTTGAAAAAAAAATAGTTTTAAAAATGGTTTTTACTTTACATGAAACTGTCCGTGCCCTTATTTTACAAAAAAAAATCATAAAAATGTTTTTTGGAAAATTTAAGTCGAATTTTTTCAAAAGAAATTTTTTTTTATAACAATTTTAAAAATTGTTTAAACATGTTAGAAGTACTGTTGCTAATATTAAAGTATCAAGAAATTTCGTATTTTACAAAAAAAATCATAAAAAATATTTTTGATAATTTTATTCAACAGGGGGACCAAGTTAAATCTTTTTCAAAAAAAAAATTTTTTTCTTAAAAGTTTTAAAAATTGTTCAAACACGTTAAAAGTACTGTTGCTAATACACGAGGACTAATATGTTTCGTATTTTACAAACAAAATCATAAAAAAATTTTTCGGATAATTTAATTCAACAGGGGGGACCAAATCAAATTTTTTCAAAAAAAATTTTTTTTTCATAACAATTTTAAAAATTGTTTAAATACTTTTTAAAATGTGTTGCTAAAATCAAAATCTTGTCTTACCCGTATTTTACAAAATCTTAAAAATAATTTTCAAATTTTTTAAAATTTTCTATTTTTAGTACCAATATCTACTATAATAAAATTCTTATTGTTAAACTTTTTATTAGCTAAAATAAGTACCGGAAGTAATTTATCTTATAATAACGGGTAATAAAAAGGTAAATAAGTTTGTAGCCTACACTTTTTCGTTCATATTTTAATGAAAAATTGGCAAAAATGGTCCCAAAGGGCTTAAAAATGGGCTGAAGATAACCCTTCTTTAGTGCTAAAAAGGTTTTATTCATAGTTTTATTATAAATATTACCTAAAATCTAAACTTTTTTGCTGGTTTACGTTTTTTGAAAGATTTTTTTTTATTTTGTTTATAATAAAAGGCTCAAAATCTATCCGAAATGGTCAAAAGATCTGCTAAAAGACGAAACAGTATGTTAACCACAATTTTTTTAAAAAAATTTAAAAAAAGTTAAAATTTTAAAAACAAAAACGATATTTTAGGTAACAAATGATATGTTATAAATATATAAATACTAATTTCTTTTTTTTTTAGATTTGATGAACGATTGGGAGATTGGGGGCACTCAAAACGCATGGGTATGCCCATCAGACCGACACCTTCAGCTCCGAGCTCAGTAAGTCAATAATCTTGTTTTTTTTTGGGATTTTAGGTAACATATTAAACTGTATTTGGTTTTTTTGACATTATTTTAGTTTTTTGCTCAGTTTTTGAAAACTGCACCCTGCAAAAAAATTAAATTTTGTCATTGCACTGTGCGAATCAAAAAAGATTGTATTCTTTAGTTTTTTTTAAATTTTAGGTAACATACAAGGGCCAAAACTTAATTTTTAGACTTTTTTTTAAAATTTTGTTTAGTTTTTAAAACCGCATCGTGAAAAAAAATGTAAATTTTGTCATTGCACTGTGCAAAATTGAAAAATAAAATTAAAAAATTTTTTTTTCAGAATTTTAGGTTGCATGCGGAATCATATCTTACTTTTTTGATATTTTTTTTTAAATTTTTTTTTTAAATTTGAGTTTTCTTTTAAACATTTCTTTCACTTTGCCTCGTGCAAAAGAAAAAAAAACATAAAATTTCAAAAAATTTTAAATTTTTAAAATTTTTAGATTAAAAAGTGGCTGGAGTGTACGAACAGCTACAGCCAGGTCGCCGACTACGACCAAAGCGACGGCCATGAATGGGATTAGCGACGCCGAGCAAGAACAGATCAGGAAAGTGTTGGCAAGAGCTGAAGCTGGGAAACAACAAGAAAAGGAGAGAATTGGGTAGGTTACTATGTAAAATACGGGTATTGTGTGCTATTTTATAGTTTTTGATACTGACATGAGCTAAGGGTACGAGAAAGGTATTTTTGGTTAGTTGGGGGGGAAGGATCGCATAGGGTTGAGTTTCAGACAAATTTTTGCCATTTTAAGTTTTGTAAAGAAAGTTCTTGCCATTTTAACTTTTGTAAAGAAAGTTTTTGCCATTTCAGTTTTGTGCAGAAAGTTCTTGCTATTCTTCCATAAAAAGCAAAGTTTTGAAGCTTGCAGCCTGCGGGTGACGAGTTACACGATAAATGCCATTTTGTAACTTTTAAAGAAAGTTCTTGCCATTTCATGTTTTGTAAAGAAAGTTTTTGCCAATTGACGTTTTGTAAAGAAAGTTCATGCCATTTTATGTTTTGTAAACAAAGTTCTTGCCATTTTATCTATTGTAAATAAAATTTTTGCAATTTTTAACAAAAGACCAACCACCACTGTATGTTACCTCACAACTTGTGACAAAACCAACCCTAACTTTGCTGAAACACCCCAGCTATCACGTCGAATTAACCGTGAAACAGTTGAAGCCGCAAGAGCAGTTTGGCCACTAATTAATAGATTTTTTTAAAATTTCCGAAAATTTTGTCCAAATCAATTAAACGATTAGATTTGGCAAAGTTTTGAAATCCTTTTTCCTCAATTCAATTAGGCCTAAAACGATTGGCGGCCCTTGCTTCTGGGGCTGCTTTTGGTATTCGAATAACGGCAATTACTTTTTTTGTTAAGGAAGGGCTTGTTTTTAAAAGTTGCATTGAGTTTTACGGTTGGGGAATTGGGCAGGGGTATTTTTGTGAAAAAGATATGGTTTTTGAAATAACTCAAAGAAGGCTAGGGTTGAATTAGAATCGGTTTAAGTGGGGCTAAAGTAGGGCTATTATAAAGTTGATGTGAGGCTGGGGCAACGCATTGTTAAGTTAAGGTAGGGCTAGGGTAAGGCTATCATAAAACTAAGGCAGGGCTGAAGTAAGGCTGGGACAAAAGTTAATCACAGTTGTGATAAGTTTATAGTACAGTCTCGATAGGGATATGGTAGGGCTAAAGGAGATGACAGTATGGCTAGGGCGGGGCAAAAACGTGACTAGTCTAAGGTAAGGGGAACCGACGAGTACATGTAAGGCAAGAGTACGGGTAAGCCAAGGGTATGGGTAATATAAGGGTATGGCCAATGCAAGAGTATAAGTAAGGCAAAGATGTAGGTAAAGCAAAGGTAAGCCATGGGTAGTGCAAGAATACGGATAAGGCAATAGCATTGATAAAGCAAGGGTATGGGTAATGCAAGGGTACGGGTAACGCCAGGTTATCGGTAAAGCAAGGGTATGGGTGAGGCAAGTATATGAGTAAGGCAAGGGTATACGTAAAGCGTACAGGCATTAAAATAAAATAGAACCAAATTAAAGCTAAAATAAAGTATATAAGAATAAAATTAGGAATGGGCATAGGTAGGTGGGCCAGAAAAAAAGTTTAGAATGAGGTAAACTAAAATTTAAAGCGAACTTTACACGTGGCTTACTTTTTAGCTTTTGAAGAATTTGAAATGATGCGCTTAAAAATTTAAAATCTTTTGTTTTTAAGAAATTTTAAAGTTTTAAAAGATCTTTGAAATTTACACTTTTTGGTTTAAAGTTAATGCTACTCCTTTAAAACAACTGGGAGTAGTCAATTCCTTTCCTTTTTTGTCTTACATGTATTACCATGGTTTATATTCTCTATAAATCATATAACTGAAGATGTATTACAATGCTTTGCATTGACATATTACATAGGCATTAGATTTATCTTATACTTGGTTATACTAATATAATATATGTAATAGTACGGCTAGAACTCAGCATTTTCAAATTTTTATTTATGCTTTCTATATGAAACGGGTATTTTTATACCCATTTTTAATAACTTTAAACGTCCGAGACATAAGAGACTTTTGAAATTCGAAGAGGCGAAACATGAACATAAGTCGTTGAACTTGTCCAAGTGGCATGTTGTTCTACTTTTCATGAGTTTTGATAAAAATAAGTTTTTAGGTTGGGACTAGAGCTGGGGAAAAGAAGTAGCGTTAGCTACAATGATAGGTAGGGTAGATGAGAGTAGAACTGGGATTAAGATAAGGCCTACAATAGGTCTGGGCTTGGATAAAGCAGGGCTTAGGAAGGGTAGACCTTGGGTAGTGTAAGTCACGGGCAGGATATGGCGTCAATAGAGTACGGATTGGATAAGATACGACTTGGGTAGGGTAGGGTGTAGGGTAGGGTAGGGTAGGGTAGGGTAGGGTAGGGTAGGGTAGGGTAGGGTAGGGTAGCGTAGGGTAGGGTAGGGTAGGGTAGGGTAGGGTAGCGTAGGGTAGGGTAGGGTAGGGTAGGGTAGGGTAGGGTAGGGTAGGGTAGGGTAGGGTAGAGTAGGGTAGGGTAGGGTAGGGTAGGGTAGGGCAGGGCAATGTAGAGTAGAGTAGGGTAGGGTAGGGTAGGGTAGGGTAGGGTAGGGTAGAGTAGGGTAGGGTAGGGTAGGGTAGGGTAGGGTAGGGTAGGGTAGGGTAGGGTAGGGTAGGGTAGGGGTAGGGTAGGGTAGGGTAGGGTAGGGTAGGGTAGGGTAGGGTAGGGTAGGGTAGGGTAGGGTAGGGTAGGGTAGGGTAGGGTAGGGTAGGGTAGGGTAGGGTAGGGTAGGGTAGGGTAGGGTAGGGTAGGGTAGGGTAGGGTAGGGTAGGGTAGGGTAGGGTAGGGTAGGGTAGGGTAGGGTAGAGTAGGGTAGGGTAGGGTAAGGTTACTGCAATGCAAGAGAAGGATCATATAACTACTGTCTTAAATTTTTTAAATTTTAAAATATTAAATTTTTTAGAATTAAATTTTTTTTAATTTCAGAAAAATGGTAGACCGTCTTGAAAAGATGAGAACTCGTGCTAGCGGAAACGGTGTGACCCAATGTTTGATCTGTCAAACAGAATTTGGTTTGTTGGCTTCGAAAAGCTATGCTGCTATGTGTTCGGATTGTCGAAAGGTAGGTCATGTCACATTGTACTTTTAGTACTGTTTGAAAAATTGTACGATTAGTACTATTTGGAAAGTGGTACTGATGATACTTAAAAGTAGTACAATTAGTACTAACTGCTATCCTGGTTACGGTAAATAAAGTTGTATCATTAGTTGTTGTACTGGTCTAGTACTGTAAAGTCATTAAACTTGATACTATTTTAGTACGATACTACGAATAATACTCATTTTCAGTACGTGTGCCAAAAGAACTGCGGAGTAGAGACGGTGGATCAAAAACGCGGAGAGCCCATCTTCCTGTGCAAACTGTGCAGCGAGTACCGTGAGGTTGTAAGTTGCTTCCTGCTTAACTTTTCGACCTTTGCTAATTACCAGTCCTGTCCTTATCAGTTGGCATGCAGCACTAACAAAAAAAATTGTTGATTTTTGAAAATAAGCTTAAAATTACTTGTTTAAATTCAGTTTCTCGAAAAAAAATGTTTTATTTTTTGAAGAAATATCACAAATTTTATAGATTAGAACAAAATGTCAAAACAGCTATCAGTTTTTCATTTTTTTTGCTGAAACATGATTTAAAACTGACAAAAATGAATTCACGGCAAGTTTCAACGCTTGTTGATTAATATAAGCGAAATGTCACAAATTTTATTGATTGAACCTAAATGTCACAAATTTCTCAACTTTTAAAGAATAGCTTATCTCGGCCTAAAGCAACTTATAAGCGGCTTTTTTTTAATTAAAAATTAAACTAAAACATTTTATTGGAAATAAGCACGTAATGTCACAAAATTATAGATTTTTGGTTTTTGCCTTTAAATTAGCAACAAGTTTTTTTTACTTGTTATTACTTATTTTGACTAGCCTTATAAGGCTCTATAAACCAGCTGTAAATTAGTTTCATTGTCCAAAGTTTTGCATTTCATCCACCTCTTTTGTCTATCGTCGCCATGTTGCACATTCACTATGTTAATATACTTGTTAAGCCTTTTTTTAATAGTTCAAAATAATTTTTTTACGTTACAGTATTAGTAAACCTAAAAGAGAGAAGAGTTTTATTTTCTGTTCCTAAGCCTAATCTTTAGATGTGGAAAAAGTCTGGCGCCTGGTTCTACAAAGAGGTACCGACTTATGTCAAACCTTGTGATTCCCCAGCCTCGACAAGTGCCTATCCCCCTGCCAATGGCTTCAGACACTCACCCAACGTGCCATCTGCAGCCTCACCTAACAATGGATGGCCTTCTGGATACAATCCTTCGCCGAGGGCTTCTCATGGCAGTGTAGTGTCACCACCGGCCGAACAAAACGGTGCCATACCCGGAGCTCATAATCCGCCTAGGCAAAGGCAGCTGCCTATTCCACCGGATCAGCAACAACGGTAAGGTTTAAAAATGTAAAATATTCCACCATTTTTTATTTTTTTTTTGCTTTGACGAAATGTCAAAATTTTTTATTGATTTTGACGAAGTGTCACAAATTTATTGGAAAAATCAAAAATTTTAATAACGTGCTGCTTTGATATAGTCTTTATATACTTTACAAAGCTTCTTTATATTTTAGACATAATGTTACAAATTTTTATTGATTTAGAAGAAATGTCACAAAATTATTAATTTTTGAATTTTTTGAAATTGTTAGGATAACAGTAGTAAAAAATTTGTTTTTTTAAACATTTTAGCTCTAAATCTAAAAACTTTTTCAAGTTTAGACGAAATGTCACAAATTTTATTGATTATGACGAAACGCCACAAAATTATTGATTTTTGCTTTTTGTTTAAATACTGTATTTTATTGTATGAAAACGTAATTCAAACATTTTTATTGCGCATTTGGAGCCAAATCATCATTTATATTATCGTATTTTAAAAGCCAATTTTCAGCCTGAAAACCACGCCCCGCCCTCGAATCACCCCTTCGTGGGTGCACGAAAAGGTCCAATCCTCAATGTCGATTGGCTCGGAAGACGAGGAATCCTCATCGTCGTCGATTGACGCGCCCGACTTCAAAACCCTATCAAACCAAGTGCCAATTCAAGCCCAACCCTTGCCGCCGTCGCGTCGGCATCATTATCGACAACGCGACTTTCGTCATGCTCAATCTCCATCCCAACAACCGACCACAACCAGCTCGTCATGTGCTTCTTCATCTACTGCTCCAAGACATATTCAGCGGTTTGCTGTTAGTAACCGGAACCCTATCACTGATACAGGTACTAGTTCGGACGAAAAACTCGTTTAGTGGTCGTGGTGGTTGGTTTTTGGTGTGATGAGAAGAAAAGTATTAAAAATGATGATTTTTTAGTTGATTTTCATTAAAAAATATGATTTATTTCATAATTTTAAAAAAGTTTTGTGTTTTTCGCATTGATTGTGGTTATGTAACAAAACTGGCAATTTCAAGTATTGAAAAAGAATATTTTTACAAATAAATGATGTTTTTTATTTATAATTTAAAATTTTTGTTTGGTTACTAACGTTTTTGCTTGGTTGTTTTTGTTTTACTCATGATTATATTGTTGATCAAAACTATGAGAACAACATTAAATACTGTGAAACTCCTGTATAACGAATCGCACAAGGATTCAAACTTTTGTTATTATAATAGAAACTACACTAATTGACTCTACCTAAGAAAAAAATATCTTGTGTAAAACAAATACCACTTTTTCAAAAAACCCTTACAGTAATGGCTTTACTTAAAAATTCTGCCTTATAAAACCTCCCTCTTTTAAATGCCTTGTGTAGTGTTAGCCGGGGATCAAAAGTTGTTTGTTATACGCGGTTTATTTTATACAGGAAGTCCACGGTAGTGTTTTTTGTATTTTACGACTTTTTTTATGACAGTCTAAAATTAAGATTAAAAAAATAACTATTTTTTGGTTACGCCGCAAGACGCACGTTTAGTAGTACTTTTGTAACGGCATATCTTATTCTAATATTACGGAAGCTTACAGTTATTATTGCGATATTTACTGATGTTCGTAAAAATTTTATTTGTATATTTACCTTTAGTTCTTTCATTTCTTTTTCTGTTGATTTTTGTGAATATAGTATGTTTTATTGTTGTTTCTTTTCTTTTTCTATGACAATTACATACTCTTTGAACAATGCGTTTTGTCACGACTGTTTTTGGTCAAGACAGAAGTACACGATTAGAAACAAATTTTTGGTACAGGTCTAGTGTATCTAGTCGCTTTATATAAAAATATTTATTTTAAACAGGGACGTCGCTAAGGAGAAGGAAGGAAAGCAAATGGGAGTGGCTTCACCTCTGCCACATTTTAAAACTGGTAAAGCAAAAAAAAATTTTTTTGGTTTTTATTTCTCCAAAAAAAGCAGAAGGGACGTCCCAAGTTGTAATCTATCTGTACTAATTTTTAGTGTTGTCTATGGTAGTTTATATTATAATAATAAGTGTGTTTTGTTCTTATTTTGTTATGATGTTGTGAATAAAGAAGTTAATGTAAAACTGTTGAATTATTCATGTTGTGATGTGTTCTATTATTTATTTTTGTTTTTAACTTTTAGCCTTAAATCCAAAAATATTTATCATAATATCTAAAGCCTGATTCTGTAACTCAAACCGCAAAAAATTTAAATTTTAAAAAATTTTTGATTATATTTTTCACGGCATTTAAAAATAAACTAACCATAACTTAAAAATTTAAATGTCTGTCTCTCAATCTATCCCATAAACTTTAACAATTATTTTTAAAATTGAAAAACTCCTAATCTTTTTGATGTTACTAACAACACAGTTCGGAATTTCTCGGATAATCAATTTACCCCACCCATTTTTAGCCAAAACAACATTGTTGCAAAAAATGAAGACGTTTTCCATTACGGACGAGGAAAGCGAGAGTAGTACGACGACGCGTGTTACGGCGAATGATAAGCACGATGAAGACGCATTATCACATTCCTCCACGTCGCATTCGTAGCAAAATTGTTAGTATCGTACTGGGTGAGGGTTCGGCGGTTTTTGAAAATTTAAATTTAAAAAATTTTTTTAAAGTTGCTTTGAACGATCAAAACGCATAAAAAATCACTGTTAAGTATGATAACATACTGCTTTTAGTCTATTAAGATAGTTTTTGTTGAAAGAAAAAATCCAATAATTTTGTGACATTTCGTCACATATTTTAAAAATTGTGTTATTTTGCATAAAAAAAGGTAAAAACACAAAATAAAACAAAAGGTTGAAATTATGAAATAGTACGATACTATCAACTTTGCAGAAAACCCCCTCTTCATCGTACTATAGCAGCATCTTCGTTGATCGTACAGGAAAAGGTGCTGACCGAGTGTAATCCCGTTTTTCCATTTATAGTTCGAAATAACAAATTGTCAAACCCTCATTTTTCTCCAGCTATTTGTAAACCTGTTTGGCGTTGTTCGTATTTGGGTGTTGTGCTTTCGCTTATTGGATAGAGGGTAGGGTTACGGTGTATTTTCTCATAGAAGCTGATTTTGGAAAAGTGCATGTTTTTGGTATAAAAGACTGTGGGAACACTTAGCAATGCCATATTAACTTATCTTTTTAAATTATTTTGATGTATATAAAAGTTTTAGTGGTAACAATCTTTTTGAAAAACAGTTGAAAAGTGGTCAATTTTTTGCCATTTTTTACCGTACTATGGCACTGAAACGCGATTTCTCCTCAAACCAAGTTGTACAAAACAATTTGCACACTCTGTTTAATCATATAAACACCAATTTACACCATACCCACCCCTCTTCGCATTTAATTTCAATTCCTAAGTTTCTCGAGTGCTCCACAAATAACCTAACATAACACGCGTGCTAAAAGAACATTGAGTTAAACTAACATTTTGAAAAAGTTTTTAATGCATGTTAACAAAGCTGCATTTTCGTTTGTCTAAGCCACTAATTTTTTCAGAAGAAAGTGAAAACGATGAATCCAGAAGAACCACACCGTCGACTTCGCCACGACATTCGTTGGCTACGCCGAGTAGCTTTGGTGGAGACGATTTGTCGCAAAATCACATCACATTGACTACGAATGAGACTTCCGATGCCAAGAGTATTGATTCTGGAGGTGAGTGTTATATATTTTGTCGTTTTTATTTTAAAATTGCGTAGCGGCGCAGCGACCTATGACAATATGTCATTTCAAAATGGCATAGAATAGCGTCAACAGTTTGAAATTGCGTAGGAAACTCCAAAATAGCTTTTTACTTGTTTTAGTCATTCATTATTATTAAATATTTCAAAAAACCAATTTTATAAAATCAATATATTTTGTGGCATTTCGTCTTTCGGTCTTTTTATTGTTTTTTTTTAATTTAAAAGTCAATTATTTTTAAAATTGAGAGTTTGGGTAGGCCCTTTAAGCAAAAAAATAGTTAATTTAGTTATTTTGACGTTTTACAAAAAAGCAATAATTTTTTTGACATTTCAAACTCCATTTTAAAAGCTCAAACTTGGTCTCAAAACTTAAGAAGGCTAAAATAGCATGTTAGCTAGCTTAGTATCACCTCCTACGCACTAAAAATATTTTTGTTGATGTAAGCTTAAAATAAGATGTACGTCAAGATAGGTAAACATAGCAACATAAACATCCGTTGATGTTGAGAATCCATTTCGAATCCTAAAACAAGTTGAAAAGGCTTTTGACCTCACAAAAACACAAACTTGACTTATGGTTTACAATTGAAAAATGGTTGAGCACGAGTTTTTTGGCAATGTTTGCTGAAACCTTAGAATATTGGCTTTTAAAGTGTTTTTTGAATACATTTAAAAAGTTTGTAAAAGCTTTAAAAGTCGAGATTTTTGGTCGGAATAAACATATTGAAAGACGAATTTTTTTCAAGACCTAGATTTTGTTTGAAGTCATTTTTGAACAACTAAAAGGTTCAGAAGCGTTCGGCTTTTGGTGAAATTGACGAGTTATTGTGAGGTTGAACCTTTTGAAAAGTAAGTGTAAACTTTTTTAAAACTGAATAAGGGTAGTATAGGAATAGAACTGAGAGTATGGTTAAGACTAGCGTCAAAGATACGAATAGGGTTAAGGCTAAGGCTAGAGCTCAGGCTCAGTCTCAAACTGGCGCTCAGGCTCAGTCTCAAGCTTAAGCTCAGGCTCAGGTTCAAGCCAAGACCAAGACTAAGCCCAAGGCTCATGCTCAGGCCAAGGCTGAGGCTAAAGCTAAGGCAAATGTTAAGGCTCAGGCTCAAACTCAGGCTTACGTTCAAACTCAGGCTCAGCCTCAGACGCAGTCTCAGTCTCAATATTAGGCTCAAACACAGATTTAGGCTTAGGCTCGGACTTATGCTAAGACTAGTGCTAACAATTGTAAGATAAAGCCAAGGTCTCTGCTAAAGCTAGGGCTAAGGTTAGCTTGACACTAGATTAGGCGTAGGAGAAACCCAATAGTTTTGTGGCATTTCGTGCCAGTAAACCTTGAAAGTTGCTAAGTCTAATTTTTTAAGTCAGTTGAAGTTAAAAAATTTTCTGCTTTTTCAAATGTTTAAAAAAAATTTTTTTGCAAATAAGCTGAACGTGATTTTCACTATAAGATTTAAAAAAAATTATTTGCATTTTTTGATTTTTTTATAAGTAAAAATTATCATAAAAATGATAAAAAAGCCGCAAAATTTGTGTAAAAAAGTTGAGTGCGGCTTGGCTTGCAGTCGTTCAAAGCGACCACTCAATGCATCAAATTCGTCAAGTCATTCCGGCTGCAGGCGCTCCAGCCCCGCAACAGCTCCAACCCTTCAACGTGACGCCGACGCCGATGCACAATAGTTCTTCATCGTCGTCGTCGCCGCCTCCACCAAATATGATGGCCGGGCTTCAGAATCTGGATGCTAGGACACACGGTCATCCTGGCTTGGAAATGAGGGCTACTGGAAACCAGAATCCAGTAGACGTAAGATCGTTGAGCCTTAAGGACAAACATCAACATGGCAATCATACTGATCGTGGACAGTACGGTAGAGCACAACCTGATCCTACTAGCCAGTATGGAAGGCCAGCTGACCCTACTGGCCAGTACGGTAGCCTACAGTCTTCCACTCAAAATTTTGGAAGTTCTGGCACGGTAGGTCAGAATCATGGACCGCATTACGCTAATGATGCTGCTGGACAGCACCGAAAGTTCTCTGAATCCGCTAGACAAACCCGTGAATTCAGTCAGTACCGTGACGCTACAGGAGCTCCCGTTCATCGTGATAGTACGTCGGCTTCTGGACAGTACCGTGATCAAACACACTCACCGTACCGTGAATCTTCAACTAATTCACCGTACCGCGAAGGCCAGAAGATGAGTCAGAACGATGTTAATCAGCCTCAGTTTGGTCATCCACAAGTAGCAAGTCAATACTCAAGTCAGTACCATGGTCAACAAAATGGTCCTACTACATCACCAAGGAATTCAAATACAGTACCAAGCCTTTTCCAACCCATACCACCACCCTTACCTCCAAGACATGGGCAGAGCGTGGGCAATGTTGATCGACACAGCCAAGGTGCTACAGTAAACCCTATGAATGCTACAGTAGCCTCTCAAAACTCAGCTACAGTAACCCCGCTAAATGCTACAGTAAACCCATCAGGAGCGAACATAGATCGTCGCCCATCAAGTGGTTCATCTTCAACCAACAACTCAGCTTTCAATAAGCGACAGTTCCAATCCAACCCCAACAGTTCACGTGAAAGCTTGAATATCGCCCCAGGCCAAAGTCAATTGTCCTTGAATTCGAAGCCACGACCACCAAGTGTCCACTCGACTGACCGCAAAAGCTCGATTACCGTCGGAAGCCGCGAAAGCTTGAGTTTGGCACCGAATGAGACGGTGGGTTTTTAAAGTTTAATATTTTTAAAATTTTTGATTGAAAAATTTTATATTTAAAAGTTTTTTGAATTAAAAATGAATTTTCTATCAAATTTTTTAATTTTTAATAATTAGGTTTATGTAAAATGGCAGAATTTAAAAAACCAATAAATTTTGTGACACTTCGTCATTTTTGAAATTGTTATCTCTTTTTTGTAAATAAAAAAAACATTTTTCTTTATTTTATGTCAATAGCAATAAAAATTTGATATATTTTCTGAAAATCAATATATTTTGTGACATTTTGTTTCAAACAATAATTTTTGTGACATTTCGTCATTTTTGACGTTTTGATTGCTTTTTGTAAATAAAAAGGGATTTTTTCTAATTTTTTAACAGTATCCATAAAAAATGTTTAGTTTTCAAAAATCCAATATTTTTTGTGACATTTCGTCAAAATCAATATTTTTTGTGGCTTTTTGTCAAGCTTTATTTTAACTTTAAAATTAACGTTTTTAAGCTTTTTAAAACTCATTTTTTGTACAAAATAGTAAAAGTTTTTAAAAATTTACACGTTTTCGCATTTCTGTCCAAAAAGTTTTGTCATTTTTCTTCCAAAAAGGAATGTCATTTCGAAACAAAAGTTTCTATGACATTCCGAAACCAACACCATTTCCGACATTGTTCTTGACGTCTGTGAATAATAAATGATTTCAGGATCGACCCATTGGGGAATCGCCTACATTCATGAGCTCACCGGAAGAGGATTCAAGTAGGTTTGGGAAGGAATGTCATAAAGGTTGGGAGTGTTTGCTTCTCCTACTGTTTTTGGAATGCTTGGGGTGGAGAGAGTACTGTAAAATGGTCAAGTGTAATTTTTATTGTTTGTTAGGGGAGGGTAGGGCAATATTTGGGTAGGGGTAGAGTAACAAGGGGTGAGATCAGACTAAAGTAAAGATAGGGACTGACAAGGGGGTCAGGCTAGAAAATTTTGTTTGAATAACGTTGACCCGGACTAAGGCTAGGAGTAGGACAAGGGTTAGAACTAGGAGAAGGGCTAACTATGAGAAGGAATAGGACAAAGGCTAGGGCCAGAATTAGGACAAGGGCTAGGACTAGGGCACTGGGCTAGGACTCTGAGCTAGAGCTCTGGGCTAGGGCTCTGGGCTAGGGCTCTGTGCTAGAGCTCTTGGGCTAGCTCTCGGGCTACGGCTCTGGGCTAGGTTTCTGGGCTAAGGCTCTGGGCTAGGGCTCTGGGCCAGGGCTCTCAGCTAGGACTAGGGCTAGTGTACAGTACTCTTTTGCCCTTTTATAATGCTTTTGTGGCTTACCGCGTGTTTGAATGTACAGGTTGAAGTGCTTTTCCCCTATTGTGCCAATTATTAACCTGTGTTCCCTGAAAACCTTAACTAATAACAAGTGTCTGAGTCACAGTCCAGCTAACAGTTTTTGCACTCACGGAATTTAGGCTTGTTTTTGATGTTTTAAAATTGAAATTTTTTAAAATTTTTTGGAAAATTTGTTACTTAAAGTTATATAAAAAAATTTTTTTTGTAAATATTATGCAAATTTTGAACTTTTTTGCGATTTTTTGATAACAATTGTACCCAACGACCCGTATTTTACCTAAAACTCTTTGAAGAAATTGAGGAAGACCTTCAAATTTCGATCAACGGTGAACTGGATCCCAACTTCCTGACCATGCCTCGTAGTCGGTCCAAGTCCGACCGCCCTACCCGCACTCAACGCTTAATCTCAGCTCTTATTCGTCCTCAAACAACCTGTAGTAACTATCGACCAAGATGTACCAAACAAGCATCGTTGCAACGAGATTCTCGAGATCACAACAACTCGACGTCGTCGCTGAACATGATGATTAGTAGTACTGATAGCCCGAGATTCGCTGATAAAATTGATTATGATAACAATTCTTATATGGAGAATAGTACTAGAAGTACTAAGAGTACCAAGAGCTCCAGAAACGACAAGATTTTGGCTGAAAAACACGAAAAAACGTCGAAAAATGAGAGAAACAACCCCGAAAAGCAAGAAAAATCCGCCAAAAATGATCAACCCAGATTCGACCGGCCATCCAAAAGTGCCTCGAGGCTATCAGTGAACATGGATGACTTTTCCGAACACGATGACATGTCATTGTCACGTACTCCATCTCCAAGACGACCAACTTCAGCCGGCTCCTTGCTAGCCACCATTAACGAGGCTGACAAATCAATATTGGAGTTGGATAATGAATACGAAAACGATGCCTTGAGGGATCTGAAGTCACCGTCACCTGTTCGAAATTTGCTTCAAAATGAACCGCCAGGTGTGATCATGCTAACATATTAGGGCGTCCAAATAATTCTGTGTTCCTAATAATTATGTACTTCTTAAAAGAAGTTTGTTTTGAGATGGGGCTCAGAATTACTTGAACAACTTAATAGCACTAAAGTTTGGTTGAAAGTTAGAGGAGATTGCACGGTGCAAAAATAAAAAAAATTTTAAAATTTTAAAAAATTAAAATTTAAAACTTTTTTGTAAATTTTAATTTTTCGACTACCAAAAATTTTTAAAATACAGTACCGTGCAAGTCTTTCAAGAACTTTTGACCTAACTTTTCTGGGTTTTTGATCTATCTACACTGACTAACACACGCTTTCCTATGATTAACATACTGCACTACCTATACAAAGACAAGTATAACTTTTGGAAAAAAGTTTTTACCGTACTATAACTACATTAAATGGTATGGTAAAGCTTAAATTCAAAGTTGTTTAGCTATTTTTTGGCTTTGAAAGCTTTAAAATGAAGTTTTGTTATGTTACAGTAAGACTTGTTGCTTACTATTGAGTCAGAAATAGTAAACTTACTTATTAGTACTAATGAGTATGGAACGTTACAGTAACTTTCATTAATTTAAACTAACTTTTTTACAGTATCACTTTTCTCACAAATTAACCTATCATAGATACAGTATTCTTTCCCTACAGTAACATATACTTCAATAATTTTTGTGTTACAGTACCCTCATTTCCTACTGTAACCCTTTAACCAAATTTCCCGCTATCGTTGAGTTTGTTTTGTTATGTGCACGCTAAGCGCAGTATGTGTAAACTATAGTACAACTTTATAGTACGCATATAGTACTAAGTGGGTGATGCTTGCTGTCCTTTTGTTTCATTTTCTTTTCAATTTTTTTGTTTTTTAAAAATCATAACTTAAAAATATTTTTGAAATAATAATGATTTTTAGGTACTCTTGGATCAATTCAGTTCAATTTGACTTATCTGTCAGAGGAAAAGCAGTTGATTATTCACCTGATTAGGGCTAAGGTAAGATATCACAATATACAGTTAAGCTTATTTTTAGCTACCCTACCCTACCCTACCCTATTCTACCCTACCCTACCCTACCCTACCCTATTCTACCCTACCCTACCCTACACTACCCTACCCTACCCTACCCTACCCTACCCTACCCTACCCTACCCTACCCTACCCTACCCTACCCTACCCTACCCTACCCTACCCTACCCTACCCTACCCTACTCTACCCTACCCTACCTTACCCTACCCTACCCTTCCCAAGACGTACTGTACTCAAGCCCAACCCTAGTCATCACTTTTCGAATTGAATTCTCCACTTTTTTCAGAATCTAAAAGCGATGGACAAGAACGGCTTCTCCGACCCCTACGTCAAGTTCCATCTAATACCAGGAAATGTCAAAGCGACAAAACTGACTTCAAAGACAATTGAGAAGACCTTGAATCCAGAATGGAACGAGGAGATGATCTACTATGGCATAACTGAAGACGAGCGATTGAAGAAGACATTGAGAGTTACCGTGCTTGACCGTGACCGAATTGGGAGTGACTTTTTGGGTGAAACTAGGGTGGCATTGAAGAAGCTGCCTTTAGGACAGACTAAGAAGTTCAATTTGTATCTGGAACATGCTATGCCTACACCGGTAAGGTTTCTGAAGCTTGAATGATTATTACGTTGTTCAAATGGTTCTGTGCCTTGTCTCAAAGCAAATTTACAAACTTAGAAGCACAGAATTATTTGAACAATCCAATATGATATTTTTCGGTCTTTGGTGACGTTTTATGGCATTTTTTGAGATTTGATGACATTTTATGATATTTTTTGAAATTTGATATTTTATAACAAATTTGTCAATTTAATCACATTTTAGTTTAAAGATGACCTTTAATTAAGCTATGACCTAAAAATACCTAAAATGGCTAGATAATACTTAAAAGTTTCTAATACAACATTTTCAGGCAGAACAAGTTGAAAACGCAGAAAGAGGCAAGATCCTGATGTCAGTATGCTACAACATCCAACAAGCATGCCTGTTCATTCACGTTAAACGCTGTGCTGAACTCATGGGCATGGATTCTAGCGGGTTCTCGGATCCGTATTGTAAAGTGTGAGTATCTACTTGTAAAAAAACTTTTTTTGCTGCGTATTTGACATTGTCAAAAAAAAAGCTTTTTTTGATCTTTTTTAGCAGTTTTAAAAACAATAAAAATCATTAAATCAACATGATTTTTAGTTCTTTAACGCCACTCAGCTCAAAACAACATCGTTACAAGACGGCAATCAAGAAACGGACATTAAATCCCGAGTTTAATGAGGTAATTTGCACATTCCTTGACTTATATTATCTCAACATGTCGAGCTAAAGCCTTGCCTTGCCTTGCCTTGCCTTGCCTTGCCTTGCCTTGCCTTGCCTTGCCTTGCCTTGCCTTGCCTTGCCTTGCCTTCCTTTCTCCCAATCCTGTTGCCTCTATTCAACCACACTTTACTTCCCAATGCCTCACTTTATCCCACTCTATCTTAGCCTACTTTACTCTACGTTACTCCATCTTGCTTTACTTTACTCCCACCTTACCCTACCTACTCTACTTCATCTAACCTTATTCTATGTTACCCCGCCCTACTTGGCCTCACTTTACCCTATTCAAAATAGAATAGGCTATTCTACTACCCTGTTCTCTACTCCGCCCAAACTTACGTTATTTTGATTTACCTTACTCTAGTCTAGCCTTACCTTAGTCATCTATAAAATCATTTTTTCTAGGTGATTCAATTCATCGTACCCTTCAAAGACCTACCCAAGAAAACGTTGGAAATTGGAGTTTATGATCATGACGTCGGACGACATGACGATTATATTGGTAAGCCATTTTTCTATATATAGTCAAAGTTAAAAAAAAACTTTTTTCAAGCTACAGTATTACTTACTAAAATTTTTTTTCAAATTTTTAAAAAAAAATTTTTTAAAAAATTTTAAATTTTTAAAATTTTAGGCGGAATAGTACTATCAACCGCGGCAAAAGGCGACCGCGGCAAGCAATGGACCCAGTGCATTGAGAATCCGGGCAAAACTTTTGAATATTGGCACAAATTAGAAACGGATTAACTAATTATATCACCATATTTTGTACAAAGAAACAAAACTTTAAAATTCTAATCAAAAATGAGTAATCAGCAATGATTACTATTACTGTTCACTTTGTAGTTTTTCTATGAAATTTCGGGTATTTTACATTTTTTTTAAATTATATTATTATAGACAGTTATTTTATGTGTTTTAATAAATTTTATTTTTATATAAAAATATGTGTTATGTTATAAATGAGTAAGTAACATTTTCATTGTTAAAGCGATTTTAAATTTGTCAAAACAAGGGTCTACAATGCTAAACGTAGAATTACTAAGCTTAGGTCTACTAAGCCTAAATCTTACCAACACTAAGTTTAATAAGCCTACTAACCCAAAGTTTACCAAGACCAAGCCTACTAACCCTAAGTTTACCAAGACCAAGCCTACTAATCCTAAGCCTGCTACTTTTGAGCGTGCTACTCATAGACATACTACGCGAAAACCTACTAAACCTCGAGCAGGAGAAGAATAAACCTATTAAACCCAAACATACTAGGCCTAAACTTACCAAGCCCTAGCTTACTAATCTTATGCCTACTAATTCTAAGGTCTTAGCCTACAAGTAATTTAAGCCTAAATCTACTAAAAAAAAGCATACTAAGCCTACGCCTACTATGAGTAAGCTTATTAAGCCTAAGTCTTCTAAAGTAAACTGAAGTCAAAACATATTAAGCTCAAGCCAACTGAGCCTAACAAGCCTAGCTGCCTTAAATTTAAACGAAATTAGAAACTCTTACTATTAAAAAAGATTTATTGGATACAAATTGTACTGCTTAATGGTGAATGTTGCACTGTAAAAATGCAATATATAAGAAAAAAATATGTGTAGTAATTAGTAGAAACACCAAATTTAAGTAATTAGAAATAGATAAAGACAGTGTATATAACCGTGAAATAACTGTTTAATTATAAACTATACAAAAATACGCGCAACAAGAGGTCCATAAACATAAATAAATATCCGTTTTATAGAAAAAAATCTCATGTTGAAAAATGATGATTTTGACCACAAATGAAAAAAAAAACGTGAGGAAATACTTTATGTACACCTTTTTACATTAGTATAATACTTACGACAAAAAAACGATTTTATGTTTTGCAGGCCGCGGGAGACAAGTTATACCACAAACGCTAAGTCATGACATTTTTTTCCGATTGTAAAGAAAGCAGTTGCAATTTTTGTTTTGTAAAGAAAATCTTTGCGTTTTTTTGCTTTGTAAACAAAGTTTTTGCTATTTTATGTTTTGTAAAGAAAGTTATTCCCATTTTATGCTTTTTAAAGAAAGTCCTTGCACTGAATCTATAAAGACACTAAAATACTTTAAGAAACAATTTTTAGTCATCATACCGTTCCTTGAGCCATTTCTTGCCTTTTCGCACCACCTGAAGCACATAAAAGTAGACATAAGTAAGGAAGCAAAGACCAAGCCAATAAAGTGGGACTAGAAGCTTCTCTCGTTTCGTCACTTCGCCTTGTTTTCGGTCCATAAATGTTGGCAACTGGGTGTAACCAAAGGCCAGGAAACCGATCATCCAGACCAGAGATGCAATACACATTATTATCATCAGGAGGACTACGCTTAACTGAAAATAGTCTAGTATAAAATTATAATAGGTAGGGCTCTGAACTAGGGCTCCGGGCTAGGGCTCCGGGCTAGAGCTCTGGTCTAGGGCTCTGAACTAGGGCTCCGGGCTAGGGCTCCGGGCTAGAGCTCTGGTCTAGGGCTCTGGGCTAAGACTCTGGGCTAAGGCTCTGGGATAGGGCTCTGGGCTAGGGCTCTGGGCAAGGGCTCTGGGCTAGGACTCTGGACTAAGACTCTAGACTAAAGCTTTAGGCCAGGGCTGCTAAATTAATGTAAAATTACAGTATAACTCACCATGCAAACAATATACGGTAAATAAAAAGAAGGCTTTTTCAGTCGATTTCCAGCCAGCAATATTCCACTTGGTACCATAGCTAAGGTTGACAAAATGGTCAAAATAAAAATGCTCTCATTATCATCGTTTCCATCTATCGTAGCGCCAATGCCAACAACAGCCCATACTGTGCAGTGTAAAATTGAGATTATAGCAAAGAAAAATGTTCCGACCTGAAAATGATATTGTAAAGAAAGTTTTTGCCATTTTATGTTTTGAAAAAAAGTTCTTGCCATTTTAAATTTTGTAAAGAAAGTTCTTGCCATTTTATGTTTTGTAAAGAAAGTTCTTGCCATTTTGCAAAACTCACCCCCCCCCCTCTTTAAAAAATTTTTTTTGGCCAACATTCTCACCAACGTCCCCGTTCGTACTCTTAAAAAACCAGTACTTACATGCACATGAGTACCACACAAGCACTTGTAGTAGTCATCGTCCCTCAACACTCGAAGTTCAGTTTCCTTGATCCGCGACCCCGACCCGACTCGGAACATTGTCCAAACTTAAGAATAACAAATTTGTAAACGAATTGATCGCTTTTGTTTTGGATTGAGATGTCAACAACTTCTGATTTTCGAAAAACAATATGTTTTGTGCTGAAAACATGACAAAATACAATTAAATTGATTGAACATTGGTCGAGAAGTCGGAATAAAAATGTGGGATTGTAAAATAATTCGAGACTTTTCATGTTAATATCAAAAAAAAATATTAAAGCAAAAGCAATATTCAAAATTCATAAATGTACCAATTAATTACGATAAAACTAAGTCTAAATAAAAGTTTTTGCAAGTCCAAAAATAAGCGTAGTAAAGATAAAAGCTTTGTAAAGCTAGCCATCCTAAGTTTCTTGATGATAAGCCAAAAAAATCAATCCAAGCCTGGCCAAGAGCTTAACTTAAGCCTACTAAACGTAAGCTTAATCTAAACCTTATTTTATTTAGCTTACTAAGCCTAAACCTAATATGATTCTAATATTAAGCCCACAAAGCCCAAGCCTAAAAAACCCAACCGTCTTACTCCTCAGCCCACTAAGCCTAACCCCACAAAGCCTAGTAAGCCTGAGCCTAACAAACTTGCGCCTAACAACTCTGGGCCTACTAAGCCCATGCCTGCTTAGCCTACGCTTACTAAACCTAAATAACCCTAATCCAATTAAATTTAAGTCAACCAAGCATAAGAATACTAAACCTAAGCCTACTAGCCTTGATCATAAAGTCTAAGCCAATTAAGCCTAAGAAATGAACCTACTAATCTTGAACTGATTAAGCCTAGTCTGACTCCTTAGCCTAACTCTACAAAGCGTCAGGCTATTAAGTCTAAGCCTACTAACTGTAAGCCTAAGCATATTAAGCTTATTAAGATTCAGCCTTCTAAGCCTAAGCCTGAGCATATCAATCTTAATGTAATTTCAGCCTACCAGGTTTAAGCCTACTAAGCACATCTAACAAATATAAAAAATGAAAAAGATCAATAATAGTATTTTACAAATATCAATTTTTCGAACAATAAAAAAATTTCAAATTACTAAAAAATTATATCTATCCGCTTTGTATGATAGCAATAACCTTGCAATCAGCTCATTTTTCCGCAAAAAGTGTTTAAAATCAAAATGCCTTTGGCACGAGAACTCAAAAAGCTAGGACACATAAAAGCGACACTGATGGATTACTAATCCCAACTTGAACTTTCAACATTATTTTTCATTAAAAATAGTTTTTTTTGCCATTTGTACTTATCTTGCAATGTAAAATTACACTAGTAAATGAATGAACGAACTTCAAGATGCGTTTTTTACGATGATCATCAGAGCCGGGCGGGGACTTTTGGTCTGGGGGCGGGGTCCAATAAATCGGCACAGGTAAGCTACCTGTGCCGATTTTTTGCGAATTTTTTTTTCCGAAAATCCACAGGGGGGACTACGTTCAACTTTTTTCAAAAATTTTTTCTGGGGGGGGTACGCCCCCCCCCTCGCGCCCGGCCCTGATAATCATGCTCAAGTCAAAAACCATAATATAACCTTTAGGACGTTCTTCTAGCTTTTAAATTTCAAAAAATTGTTTAAAAATTGAAATACCATCTAATTCCTTTATTCCGTTTTTAAATTTTTGTTTTCTGTTCTTTTTAATTTGTTTTCTCAAAGTTTTAAAGTCAAAGTATTCAAAAACAAGTCTCAAATTTTAATCTCTCTTGTTTGGACCCAACTGTGCTTTTATAAAGTCAAGTTTTGTTACAGTATTAATATTGTAAAAAACGTTAAGTTTAAACCTAATGAACCCAAATTTTGTAAGTCTAAGCCTAATGAACTTAACCCTACAGCTAGTAAGAGTAAGCCTGATAAAGTTAAGCGTATTAGGTACAAGCCCAATTTGCCACAAAAGTTTTAGTCTAGAAAGCGTAACCTTGCTACGCCTGAGGTTACTAAAACTAAACTTATTAAGTCTAAGCCTAAACCTTCTAAGAATATGCCTTTTAATCCTAACCTAGTAAGCCTAAGCCTATTAAATCTAAGCCGATAAAGGCTACGTCTACTAATTCTAAAGCTAATAAGACAAAACTTACTAATCCTAATAAGGTTAAGCCTACTAAGCGCCAGCCTACCAAGCCTGAACCTGTTAAACCTAAGTCTAGTAAGCCAAAGCCTATCACGAAAAAACTGATCCTTACAATATTCCCAATCCAAAGCCACAAAATCAGTACCATTCACATTCTAAATACAGTACTGCTTAAAATATAAAAATCTTACACCTGCACCAAGATAACTCTCGAAACTTGCAAACACATTAAAACCAAAGAGAAACCGCATTAATCTGCACAAAACTCGGCCGAACCTCCGTCATTTTTGTGTCCAATCAGATAAAAAGGCAAAGATTCGACTCTTCTTCTGAGTCGTGTGATTAATCAGAAGAAGTGGGGCCTCCCTAAATATACACATCGTCCAAGCAAATAATAGGGCCTCGGAAAAGGTTGAAAATAATAAAAAAAACGAAGATTAAGGCAAAAACAAGCACGTGAGACAAAGAAGAGCGGCCGGGAACAAAAGTTAAAGTGCGATTACCTGGTTTTTGATTCGATTCTGACAAAACACGAACTTTTTATAACCTTTGGCATGGCATGGGCAATAACACGTCATGTTATGGTACAGGGCATTGATAAAGCAATATCTCATAGCTTAGTAGCTTATGAATGACCTTTTTGTAAATAGAAGGATATTTTATAGCTTGTATGATATAAGCACAATATATGATATAAGGATACCTGACAGCTTTAGAATTAATTTTTAATTTTTAAAGGTACCGTTTTTGCCAGTCAAATCTTTCGTCGCGAGACCAAAACTTGATCCTGATGCTGTCATTTAGACCCGGTCCTCAGGCTCGTACGATCCAGCCCAGACAATTTTAATTTTTTAGGTCCACTCCGACCTAGTCCGGCCTAGTGAGCACCCTTTCAATTCTATTTAGTATTAAATGAGTCATACTCGTTATAAAGCACCAGACTGACCTAACTAGATTGCCAAACCATCCTAACCAAACAATAATGGCTATGAAGCACCAGACTAGCCTGACTAAACGAAGCTTTAGCGCATACCAGACTAGCCTTCTTTCATTGTGTTAAGATTTGTAATGATCCTGACAACGTATTGCCTAGTATAACATGACCAGCCTTCTCTAAAAATAAAATTTTCCACAATTTCCATAATATTCTTCATTCTAAACCTAAAAACTTTTCTTTCTATCCCTTCTAATCACCTCAATCCACCAAACTACTAAAAACTTCATTCCTCAAGCAAAACAACTTTCTCTCCAGCTTCCGATTCCTCGCTTTCTACGGATTCAGAAGCCGTGGCTCTGGTGGATTCGTTGTAATCGCTGCTTTCCGTGTAGATCTCCTCCGCTTCCCAATCATAGGGTTCGTCGGCTTCGTCATCCGGCAATTTCAACGCCTTCTTGACCTTGGAGTAGTCGATACGATAATGTGGTTCGCACGAGTTCAGATAGCTGAAGAGGTACGTCATTCTGGAGGTGTAGCGTCTCATTTTCGGCACGAATTGACGTTTGGCTTTGATCAAGTGTTTTGGATCTTGAACTTTGCGCCATGGCAAATCACCCATTGCCATTTCGATGGTGGAGTAAACCAAACTCCAAAAGTCATCGACTACAGTGTGCTCTTGATGATCGTGCACTCTCCACGACGCGTAACGACCGGTGCCGCGGAAGCCGGCGTACGAACGGAATCGGCGAAGGACTCCGCGTTGGTCCAGATAGCGACGGGCTAGGCTACAATGACATTGTTTGTAAAAAAAAGTTTTATAAATATAAATCACAAGAACTTTCTTTACAAAGTTTAAAATGGCAAAAACCTTCTTTACAAAACATAAAATGGCAAGAACTTTCTTTACATCTTCAAAACCGACCAAAATCTCCCCTCTAACCCAATCCTTCAATAACCCACCCAAAATCAACCAGTAGTACCACACGTGAGTTCTCCGTTCTCAGACACATGTTTGACGGCTTTACATCGCGATGAAGGTATCCAACGTAATGAACAGCTTCCAATGCGTAGACCATTTGATGTGCGACGCCAAAAGAGGTGGCCGTGCTGAAATGGCCGCTGTCACGTTTCTTTTTCAGGTCGTGGACGTTTGGGCCCAGCAACTCCATGCAAATGTAGTTGACAGTGTCGGTGGAACCACTACGGTACTGAAAATGAAAAAAATATTGCTGTTATTGATTTTTTATGTCTTGTAAAGAAAGTTTTTACCATTTTATGTCTTGTAAAAAAAGTTTTTGCCAGTTTAAGTTTTGTAAAGAAAGTTTTTGCCTTTTTCGTTTTGTAAAAAAAGTTATTGCCATTTGAAGCCATAAAACCCAAAATCCACCGATTTTATATTCTGTACAGAAAGTTCTTGCCATTTCTTTATAAAAAGCCATGTTTTGTATTTTGCAGCCTGCAGGCGACTAGTTATACGAGGAATGCCGTTTTATATTTTGTAAAGAAAGTTCGCGCAATTTTTTGGTTTTTAAAAAAATTTTTTTGCCATTTTCATGTTCAAAAACCGAAAAACTCACAAAGTCCGGAAAGAACTCGTAACGACTGATCTTTTGCAACAAAAACTGCTCCAGTACCATACGTGGTGCACTTTTGTGGTTGCGTGGTCCCGTTTTGACAGCCATTCGAACGCCTTTCTTGTCCTCGGCTTCGTAGATCTGTCCGAAGCCACCTTCGCCAATCATTCGAATGATCTGGATATTGCCCTTGACTAGCCATTCACCATCGCGGAACAGTCGATCTCGCTTCTTGCTTCGCTAAAAGTGGAAAATTATATTTTTTATGGCCTACACTGCCCTAATTTAGTCTACCCTACCTAACCCTACCCAAGCTTACACTGTTCTCCCCTACCTTACTCTACCCCACCTTGCCTTACCCTGTCCCAGCATCTCTTTGTTTACCACACCAAACTCTACCCTGCCGTATTCTACACAAAAAAAAATTTAAAAAATTCAAAATTTTACCCTTCTCGAGCCCTCAGGCCATTTAGCTTTGTCATACTCGTATTTGGACTTGGACTTTCGTTTCGGCCGCCCATTAATCTCTTGCTGTGATTTTTGTGAACACAAAGAATTCCGCTTCATAAGCATATCTTAAAATCATAAAGATCGACCGGTCGATAAATTTAAATTTTTTTTTAATTTCAAATTTTTGGTTTTCCGGTCTAAAAGTTTCAAAAAAAATTTTTTTAAATACAAATATTGCCAGAACGTATTTTACAAACTCTTTGACCTTATTAAAATTATTAAAACGCAAAAATAAGTCAAAAGCACATAAGCTAATATCAAAAAAATCAATTTTAGGTATCAACTTACTATATTCAAACAACGACCGCTCCACCTGACAAAATAACAAAATGAAAAAAAAAATTTTTAAAATGGAAAAAAAATTAAACTTGGTAGTTGAAATACAAAATTTCGTGCAAATACGAGTATGACAAACTCTAAAAACCTAAAAAAAACAAAAAATCCAGCAAAAACCTAAATGTCACGCTTTGAAAGTACAGTACACTACCATAAACCCAAGTTTTTAAAAAACCAAAAGTAGCATTTTATAGAGCATAAAATATAGTAAATCACCCCACAGTTTGCCTAATATATCTTGAATACCAACTAAGCTACAGCTAATTGAAAACACCAAAATATTCCAAGGAAAACCGAAATTTTTCAGTATTTTGCCATTTTCAAATGTACAAATTCTGTAATACCTCTAGATAGCTACATAAAACGTTTAAAAAATGTACATTACTCATACCTAAAAACAAAAACATAAAAAAAATTATTACCGGATCTCTAATGTCGCGTTTCTTGATTGACCCGGTCACATCATCACCACGGTTCTTAAAACGGTACGTTTTTACCTGAAAGATCAAATTTTATATAGAAAACTTACTAAACGTAGATTGACAACAATAAAATAAACACGACTAAGTTCAAAAACAAACATCTCCAGCCAAATATTACCTAAATTAACTAAAAAAACCAATATTAACTTACATCACGATGAGAAACATCCATCGTTGATCAACCGAAGCGGTAACAACCACACACTGAAATGGACAAATAAGAGAAGTGTAACAAATAGCAAACTTTGTTTTGTAGTTTTTACGTTAGAAAATTTGCATATTTTTGAGAATTCATTATTTTTTGATCTTACACTTGTTTTGGATGGAACCTTTGATAAAACTTAGATAAATAACCATCAAACTTATCCAACTAGTGTCCGTAACGTACATACTACTTAAGTTAGGTGCCGCCTATACAAATAGGCCAGCGCAAATATGATAAGATTATAATTTAGGCTCTAGCTCAAATGCCTCTGATCACCAGTTGAGTGAAAGTTCGAAGCTATGGACCAGTTGGTCTTTAGCACTAGGGTTTTCAGATAGGTCTTTATAACCGTCTGTATTTTTTATTATTTATATTGTAATGTCCCATAACAGTAACTAAGTTACATGTCTATTTTATATTTTAAGACGACAATAAATGTACGTGTAAAATTCAAGACGTTTTTAATATTTAACTTCTTAATTAATGATAGCAAGAAGTTTACTCTTATATATATATGTTTGAAAGAAACGACAATCAATTTGACACTTATTTTACATGAAATAGACAAACCCTCATCTTGTCATGATGAAGATACCTCTGCCTCAAGTTTATTCAAGTTTTAGCATTGATTCAACTCAAATTAACTCAAACTTAATTTTAAAAACTTTTAAAAACTGCCATTAAACTGCTTTAGCCGACTAGAGATATAGTTCATTCATCAACCAACAAGTACAGCCAAAACCATGTTATCCATGAAGGTCAAAGTCTAAAACATAAAAAAAAACTAATAAAATAACTTACTGGCAAGCCAAAATATGTTGAAAATCGTTGATGTACGTAGTGGTTGTTGTATTTTAACTTTTTTACAATTTCAATTTGAAAACCTTGTCACACTAATCCATTTTTTTGTTTTTCGTTACCGAACAAAATCTTGTCCGATGACGCATTTTATCAAATTTTCACTGCTTGCTGACGGATTTTCGAGAGATTTATTAGTGCCTTGATGAAGACAATTTACTTTTGCTGTAACAATGTTGAGTTCTAGCTAATATATTCCAAGCTTATGTTAAAATTAACCTTTATTTCTTGTAATTTTTTAAAAATTTTTACGTTATACTAGTTACATTTCGACGAATGTGTTCAAGATTAGTTTCAAGCTCTGTAATTGCACATAAATATTATAAGTAGACCACAAGTTTGGAATAACAACCCTGTAAATGTTTTCAGACCGAGTATTTAAACAAAAGGTAAAGTAATACTGAAGTTTTAGTTTATATTGTCAAAACTCTAATGTTATGTTTTGTTTGAAGTTTCAGAACCTTATAATCAATTTCTAGAGACTTTTCGACCAAACAAACTATTTGTAAAAGTAGAAACTATCAATTTTAATATGAAAAGTAAATTGATCAGACCGCGTCAAAAAGAACTGGTCTTTTTTTCAACGTATTTTGTTAACAAAATCTCCAATTCTTTTTGGCGCGCCTGAACAAACTTGTTCTAAGGAGTAAAAACCATAATTTTAGGTATGAGAAATTGTAAATTATATTAAAATGATTTAAAAGAGAATGTACTGGACCCATAAACCATTGGAAGAACATGAATGAGCTTTTGGCGACCAAGTTATATATTATAGTAGGTCAATAAGGTGCATAACGTCGCATATTCGCTGGATTTTGAGCATTTTGGTTCAAGTTTCGAGTTTTCTTGGCTTGAACAGATGAGATACTGAAAATGGACGGGTAAGTTAATTTTTTTGTTTTGTTTTCGTGGTTTAGGAGATTAGGATCAAGCGATAATCTTGGTAAATCCCTGTTTTTCCGGAAAAAATGAAATTTTTTGCCCAAAAGATGACATTTTAGATTAAAAAAGGTAACAAAAATTTGGAAAACAGTCATTTTCAGTCAAGTACAACGCTAACCTGTCTGAAATGCCCGTTTGTCCACCAACTTTTCCACCACAATGTTGTAGTATACCCGCTTGACCCAAGAGTTGAGCATTAATCATGTCTTCAGGCCTTCCAGTCCAGCCTAATGGATTGGAAAGGCCTAGTAGTGCTGCTTGAAGTTCATCAGGTGATAATAGAGCACTTTGTTGAGATTGAGCTAGTGCCAGATTGTTCAGAATGGCTTGTTGAATATCGGCATCTGAAAGGTGGGTATTATAATATTGTAAATACCGTAAATCAAAGCGCTTCTTAAATTTTTAAAAACAGCTAAAAAGGTCAAAAATAAACCCCTCTTACCTCCAGAAACAGGAGGATAGCCACCTTTAGCTAATACTGGATTTACGCCCGCATAAGCCTGGTACTGTAACATATTGGGTACCATTGAGGCTTGTTGGCCATAGACTTGTTGTTGCTGTTGTTGTAGGATGCTAGTAATGTGTTGGGTAGCTTGTTGTTGAGCTGCGGCAGCTGCAGCGGCCGAACTAGCTACTAACATTGGGTTGTATGTTGGTTTTGGCCTAAAAATGATGTTGTAGTAGGTAAAAAGTGGTGGTTTTTGTATTGTTTGGTGTTTTTATAGGTTACACAGTGGTTTAGAGTTATGAAAATTAAGTTTATAGTGTCTGCAGGGCCTTATAGTTCTACTTGAACACAAATTTAAGCAATGGTGTTTTTCAAAAATTAAAAAAACTACAGCTAAACTCCACGCTATACCCACAAAACCCTTACCGATAAGGCAACGTAGCGCCTTTAGGCGGTGCTTCTTGTAGGATGACACAAATTTGTCGCATACATTCAATAAGTGCCTCACAGGTACCGCTAATTGTGACAGCACGTTCGGTAGAATTAGGTAACATCTCGCTAGCCACTTGAATAGAAGAGCCCGTTCGTTCTCGAATTTCCTTGATTTTGGTACCACCTTTGCCAATAATGGAACCACATTGAGTGGCTGGAATGATCAAACGCATTGTGATTGGAGGCTTCGGTACTGAGTTTGGAATGGCTGTCATGTCCTGTAAGTACTGGGATGAAAGATTATTATAAAGGTTGGAAATTAGGGGGTGGGTAGTGGAGGGTAAAATAAGATATAGTAGGGTAGGGCAGAGTGGGTAAGAGTAGTTTTAGGCTAACATAAGGCAATTTAGGATATGCTATCGTAGTGTAGGGTAATATGAGGCAGTGCATGGTAGGACAAGCCAAAACAGAACAGAGAAAGGCAAGGCCAGGCAGTGTAGTTTAGGGTAAGGTAGGGCATGTCATGCTGAAGTACGGTAAGGTAAGGCAGGGAAGAACAGGGCAAGGACGCACAGTGGAGGGTAGGGTAAGATAAGACAGGGAATAGTAGGGCATGATTAAGTATGGAAAGGTAAGGTAGGGCATGGCATGACAAGGCAAGACAGGTCAGGGTGTGGTATTGTAGGGCAAAGCGAAGTTGGTCAGGACAGAGCCGGGTAGGGTAGGGTGGGATAAAGTAAAGTAGGGTATGGTAGGGTAAGGTAGGGAAGAGTAGGGTAATGTAGGATGGGGTAGAGCAGATTTTTAAACTAAGTTCTTACTTCCTCAAACTTCTGAGCAATCATCTGAAAAGCCGTGTTGATGGTGGTCAAGTTGCCAGTGATACTGACAATTCTCTCCGGGCACGACCCATCACTGATGTTAATTTTGGCTGTGGATTTGTCACGAATGAGTTTGACATGATCTCCACGCTTTCCAATGATCGAGCCTACTTCCTGAAATTTGGTTTTATACCTCTTATCTACAGAGTAAGAGTTTTGAGTAAATTGCGATTAAAATTATATTATAGTAGACTTCGAATAGGGGTGGGTGTAGATGACATAGCTTTGGGGCAGTTCTCGAAATTTAGATTGTAAAATACTCCATATATCTTTTTTGGAAATAAAAGTTTAAAAAATGGGCTTTATATTTTATAGTACACACAAGTTATATATTAAGGTACCTACGTCAATATTTTTCTTCTAAATAAAACCAAAAATTATAAATATAGGTAACAAAACAACGAAATCAAGGTAAAACAAGGAAAAAAAGCAAATACCTTGCCCAACATTAACAATCGTACGGTCAATATCACAGACACACTGCCCGAGCCATTGGCTGATTCGTTTGATGTTGTTGTACTTGGTCTTTCCTTGTCCAACTCGTCTCGACTGGTCATTAAGGCATTGTTTTGGGCTTCTAATACGTGTTGATTGAGCATGTCCATTGGGGAATACTGTTGAGTTTTTGGGTATGTTAGGGTAGTGTAATATTTTTGGTTTTAGGGTAGGTTAGTAGAGGCTTATGTTGATCAAGGTAGCATACGATGGCTAATGATGGTAGGTAGGGTATGGTAATGTAGCCCCCTTCTTTACAGTATATTATAGTAGCCTAGTACCAAAACCCCTATCGTAGTACCAAATTTAAGCCGTTGAAATTGCGAATTAAGGGTAGAAAGAATGGTTCATGTACAATACTGGATAGAGTGTTGGGAAGTGTGGTAAGTGTTGATACCCGGTAAGGTTAGGAGTAAGCTGTCAATGAAAAAACATTAAATTTCGGGATTTCAAATGCAAACGCGAAGTATGGGTTTGTAGGATAAGAGGGGTAATATTGAGATTTGATTGAGGTAGGGACGGTAAAAGGAGGGGGGGGGGAGAAGAGGGGTAGTAAAGCGGTTTCTGGGGCCTTGGAAGGGGTGGGAAAAAACATTTATTGTACTGTAATATAATAATAGAGCGAATTAGAGCAAAATTTGTTTAAAATAAGGTTTAAAATGACCTACAAATAGTATACAAACAGCAAAAAAATACTTAAAATAACGTAAAAACAAGCCTAAGTAGGTCTAATATCACCCAAAATACTACAAAAATAGTAAAAAATTACCTAAAATATAAAAAAAACAAGTATAAAAAGTCCTAAAATGCCCTACAATAACATAAAAACTAGTCCAAAAACCTCTAAAATCACATAAAAATTAAGGAAAAACAAGTAAATCGAGCCATACCCCTTTCTCTGTCGGGTAATTTTGTTGTTATCAATATAGAGAAATAAGAATTATATTGAACTGATAACATTTTATCACCGCTTGAAGTATACCCAAAGACCTTATTGAGAAGAATTATTATTATATGGGAGGTAGATGAGATAACAATACTTATTTATTTACTAGTACAAAAAAAATGTGGTAAGTAGAGCTAGAAAGAAAGTTTTTGCCATTTTATGTTTTGTAAAGAAAGTTTCTGCCACTTCTTTGTAAATAACAAACTTGTTGTAACATGCAGCTTGCAGGTGACAAGTTATACGATGGATAGCTTCTTTTGATCTTATAAAGCAAGTTTTTGCCATTTTTAACCTTCTTTACTGTTTCAAACAAATTGAGACCTATCACTCGTCTTTCAAACTAAAAATTAAAAAATATACCTCTCTTAATAAGCCTAAACCTTCTTTTTCCCCAAAGCAAGCCTATCATCCCCTTACCTGCCCTTCTCCACCCTGCTCCATCAGAACAATCCTAAACCTCTCCATTTACACTTTTTTTTTCAAAGCAAACCCTCCCTACCCCTCTTAATTGTGCGACACGATAATCGCGTCGACCCGCTAGCCGAAAATGAGCATTTGCCCATTTTTTTTTATTTCCATTCTTAAGCTCGCAACGTATAAAGGTCCACAAATATTTGCTCAATGAGAGTTTCGTGGCTTGAGGGCGAAGCCGAAAGTCGGAACATTCATAAAAATCACACATGCCAACAGATAAGTGGAACATAGTTTTAGGTAGCCTTTGGTACTTTAACTTTTTTAGTACTAGTCATAAGAGTTGGTTCTAGTTCTAGGGAATAGTACTTTAGCATTTTTCAGGTTAAACACTAGTACTACGTAGAACCTCTGCAAGAGTAAATTGTTATCATATAGGCCTAGGCATAGCATATTAAAATACTAAAAAAGTCGTACTACTTAAGTACGTGCGTGCCCCAAACTTCAAATTTACTCTTTTAAAAGCTAGAACTTTCTTTACAAAACCTAAAATGGCAAGAAATTCCTTTACAACACATAAACTTGAAAGAACTTTCTTTACAAAGCATAAAATGTAAGGAAATTTCTTTACAAAACATAAAATTTAAAACTATCATTAAAAGTTACCCTCAGAACAAATATTTAAACCTAAACCAAAATTTTAGGTTGCATAACCATGTCTATTACAATTAATTTAAAAAGGTCATTTTGGTTACTACGGAGAATAATGGAATAATTATATTACGGTACAAGGCTGGTATGGCGCTACAGATTTTTTTTCAGTAGGAGGGGGGGGGGAGTATACTAAAAAACAGTTATTTGTCTGCTCCGTATTTTACATAAAAAGTTTTTAAAAAATTGTTACAGTAAAACGTGCTATTCTCACCTCCCTGACCTCAGTTTCAAAACAACTTATCCCTTCACCGCTGTCGAGTCTAGAGATAAAATTATCCCACCCAGCACTTAAAATATGCAAATTTTTTAATTTTTCTTTTTTTCAACTAAAAAAATTTAAAAAAAAATTATTTGTTCTATCTGCCCTCTCTGCTTAACTTAAATATAAAATTACCCCGCCCATTTCTAAATATATGCAAATTCTGACCATTTGTTTAATTAAAAAGTGCAAACTTTTAGACGAAAAAATTTTAACACCAACCCCATTCCCGCTCCAAACTCATCCTTAACCCATACCCACCTCAAACCCATCCCCACCCCATACCCACCTCAAACCCATCCCCGTCCGCCTAATGTGATCTTTGTGCGCGAAAAAACAACGTTTTCCCCGCAGGCTAAAAAGAATAATTGCGCAAACGTTCCAATACCAAATTCCTTGGACCAAAGTGAACACGGAAAATGCGCAGACGGTAAACAAAGGGCCGCTTCCGCAATAATTTATGGGCCAAGTAAAAATTAGGTGAAAAGATCATAACGTTGTTGGTGGTGGACGTGAATGGTAAACAGCGGCGTTTGCGCGGCGATTTCTATATTTCGGTGTGTTTCGGGTACGAAATTACTCAGCGGGAGAGGAAAGAAACGATCGTGAGCTAGCTAACGTGGAAATAGACAGAATAACAAAAAAAGTTTTGTAAAGAACGTTCTTGCAATTTTATCTTTTGGAAAGAAAGTTCTTACCATTTTATGTTTTGTAAAGAAAGTTCTTGCTATTTCACGTTTTGTAAAGAAAGTCCTTGCCTTTTTTTATAAAGAAAGTTCTTGCCATTTTTTGTTTTGTAAAGCAAGTTTTTGCAATGTTTTTTGTAAATAAAAAATTCTGTTTGTGCAGCGTGCGAGAGATAAGTTATACGTTACGTGACATTTTGATGCCTGAAAAGAAAGTTCTTGCCATTTTATGCTTTGTAAAGAAAGTTTTTGCCATGTTGTGTATTGTAAAGAAAGTTATTGCCATTTTAGATTTTGAAAGAAAGTTCTTGCCATTTTTCCGTTTTTTGTTCTGTACCTCAGAAGCCGTTAGACTCCTTGAGCTGGTCAACTTTCGAAGCTTATAAACAAAACAATTGTTATGAGTAAGCGGTTTGACTCTGGTGAGACAACAACCGATGCCATAAGTACAATAATTTATGCTTAATAGTGTAAATAACCCCAACGTATTGCTCATAAGTAGACTTGTAAATGGGCTGAGGCAAACTCTGTTTGCTTGAGACCGTTCCAGCAGCGGGCCGGGCTAGCATATATGGTCAATATATGGTGGCCTGGCCCGTTGCTTTGATTTAATAACGCGGTCAAGCCGAGGCATAGACAGACAAAGATTTGGATGGGCCTAGTGCCCTCCCATCAACCTTTTTTGACAAATTCAAAAAATTTTTTTTAATTTAAAAAAAAATTCAAAAAACAAAAAAAAACTCTAATCTATCTTACCCTACCTTTATTAAAGCTTCAAAAAAATTCAAAGCTCTGCCACATAGGCCTAGCCAAAAAATTAAACCCAGCCCGGCCTTTTACGAGTCTATTCTACCCTACCTTTTTTTTAAATTCAAAAAATTTTAAAAAACATTTGAGGACAACATAACTACAGGTCACTATTAAAATCTCTGGCCAAGGGTTATAAAACTCGGTCAGCTCCGTTTTTATTAATCGGCCGCCCAAACAGAAGTAACGATAAAATCAAAGTGAAAGGAGGTGCGGTTCCTTTTCTTGTTTGATTATGACGGTTTGCGTTTCGGATTGGGCAGGGCAAAATAGATGAATCTTTATGTAACTACATGGGTCAAAAAAATATTGTCTTAAAATTGTCATATAATAGTTTTTTTAATCCAAACGGCGAGTTTTTAAGAAAATTAAAAATTTTGACCGAAAAGCAAAAAAATAAAGAAAAAATAGCAATATGAATATCGCAAAAACCTTCTTTACAGAACTTGAAATGGCAAGAACTTTCTTTACAAAGCAAAAAATAGCAAGAAATTTTTTTACAATGCATAAAATGGCAAAAACTTTCTTTACAAAGCAAGAAATGGCAAAAACTTTCTTTACAAAGCAAGAAATGGCAAGAACTTTCTTTACAAAACAAGAAATGGCAAGAACTTTCTTTACAAAACAAGAAATGGCAAGAACTTTCTTTACAAAACAAGAAATGGCAAGAACTTCCTTTACAATGCGTAAGATGGCAAAAACTTTCTTTACAAACGTCACAAGCCAATTCATCGTATAACTCGTGACCCGCAGTCTGCAAAACTTAAAAAATGACTTTTTTTACTAAAAATGTTTTAGTTTTAATTTGCAAAGCCTAAAAAAGTCATTCACAACATTTTTTTGAATTGGCAAAAACTTTCTTTACAGCAGAAAAAATTGAAATTTTTCTCACTTTTTTAAAAATTTAAAATTTCATCAGCGTGCCTTTTAAAAATTTCAAAAAAAGTGAAATATCTCTTTATACAAGCTGGCCATGACAAAGAAATCATTAACGACTTATTATGCACAAACATTACATTCAACGGCACATCCCTCCCTTCTCCCACTCTCCGCTCCCCCTTTACCTCCTCCTACTTCCTCTCCTCCTTTCTGTCCTTCTTCATATCCTTAACAAACCAAATAGGTATCTCATTTATATTCCTAATGCCGTTTTATAAAAGTGAGTAAATTTATTGGCCACCGATTTGGACCAGAAAAAAATTCGTGGCCCCGGCCCGCTAATTCGATTTGAATTGACGTTAGTGTGAGGAGGAAAATAAATTTTCCTACTTATCTGTAACGGCATTTCGCCGGAGGCTAGCACGGATTTTTGTATTAAACCCTTTTTGGATGGAAGCAGAGGCAGTATAAAATGGTATAAGCCAAAACATAAGAAAGCTAGCTTTGCTTCAGGCTTGTCCTAGCTTTGCCTCAGGCTTGTCCTAGTTAATGTCGTAGCCCTAGTACTAGTCTTGCCGCAGGACGGCCTGGGTAAAATCTTTGTCCTAGCCCAAGTCGTGTCCTAGGCTTGCCCTTGTCATAGCCTCAGCCCTAGCCACAATGATAGCCTCATCCATAGCCCTTGGCTATAGCTCTGGCCCAGAGCCCTAGTAAAGAACTCTATCCCAGAGCCAAAGCCCACAACCCTAACCCACAGCTCTAGTTTCACAGCCCTAGCCCAGAGCCCTAACCCAGAGCTAGACATGAAGAACGAGCCGGGGCGGCCTTGGCCAAAATTTAGGTCGAATCGGGCCTAACACAAAGGCCCGGCCCGGTCCTCATGTCTACCTAGAGCCCTGGCCCAGAGTCCTAGCGCTCATCCTATTCTTGTCCTGGCTTTTCCTATCCTTAGTCTTGTCCAGCCTTGTCCTAGTTAATGCTTAACCCCAACCTTGCCCTAGGCTTTATCAGTCATCGTATAACATGTCTCTCACAAGATTCAACGCCTAAAATACAGTATTTTTTCAATAAGCAGCTAGACTGGAAATTTATTTTAAATACCTAAAATAAAAATAACTTTCTTCAAAATTTAAAATGATTTCAAAAAAACCTTAAACTACCCTCCACTTTTCCTATTACCTAATCTGTCATACCCACAACCACCACCAACCCTTCCGATTTTCTTAGTTTTTCGCTACACTTTGAAATCTGTTTGGGTTGGTTAATTTGAGGCCTAAAAAGCGTGGCGTAATTGGCCAAATTTATCAAAAAATCGGCATGTCCAAAGGAATTTGTCAACAAATTTGGCGCAAAAAATTTATGGGAAAATTGGTAATATTCGAAGCGCTCTAAATTAAGGTTTTCGAATCTATAAAGCCTCGAATTGGGGTTTCTGAGAAATGTGATAGATAATATTATACATCATATGAGCTGAGCAAACCAAATATAGACGGTTTTTGAAAAATAGCCCTAGGGTATTAGGATAAGTGAAGGGTATAGTAAATAAAAACATAATAGGTCAAGTAAAAGGGTACTGTAGACGTTTTGAAAGCAGGGTGAGCAGGCTAGCGTAGAGCCAGAGTAGGCCAGAGAGTAGGGCAAGCGTAGGGCAAGGCTAGGGCAAGGCTAGGGCAAGGTTAGGCCAAGGCTAGGGCAAGACTAGGGCAAAGCTAGAGCAAGGCTAGGGCAAGGCTAGCGCAAGGTTAGGGCAAGGCTAGGGCAAGGCTAAAGCAAAGCTAGAGAAAGAATAGGACAAGGCTAGGGAAAGGCTAAGGCAAGGCTAGGGCAAGGCTAGGGCAAGGCTAAAGCAAGAATGGGGCAAACGTAAGACAGAAGACGAAGGCTAAAGCTAGTATTTGGGCTAGGACACAAGGAAATAGCTTATATTATACTGTCTCTCTGGTCAAAGTTCAGGAACTCAAAACGTGTTCTTGCACGAACGAAACACTTGTTAACTTTTCAGACAGTGATGATATGCAAACAGTGCAGATGCTTGAACACAAGATAAACACAAAGATTATGTTTGAGATCAAATATTCAAATTTCTAGGCTATAAAGCTAAGGATTCGCGAAAAAAAAATATTACTAAACAAGAAGGACCATCCGTCTTTTATCCCCTTTAATCTACAAAAATTGTAAAAAAATGAAAAAAAAAGTATTATTTACAAAAAAGTTCTCAAAGAATCCAGGAAAACTAGTAGAATATCATCAAATGTCAAATAAAGATCTCAACTTTTAAATCGCTTTAAACCCATTTGAAGGGTTTTTCTTTGACTTATGTTCAGTAAAGTATTCAAAAAGCACTATTCTTCAATCAAAAAATTTCAAAAATTTCAAAAATATTTTTTTTTCAAAAACGTTTCAAATTTTCTAATTTAAAAAATTTCAACTTAAAAATGTCATTTTTGCCTTAAAATCGATCAAAGAACACTATTTTTTGATAAAATCAATTTGAAAATGTTATTTTTTTATGAAATCGACCGAAAACTGCCTTTTTACTAAAATCAACCAAAAACTGCCTTTTTATCAAAATCGACCAAAAAAGCCGTTTTTTATTAAAGTCGACCAAAAACTACCCTTTTGAATTAAAATTGACCAAAAAACGTTATTTTTTATTAACATCGGCCCAAAATACCAATTTTTATAAAAATCGACCAAAAATACTAATTTTTATAAAAATCGAACAAAAATGTCATTTTTTGTTAAAATCGTCCCATCAATGCCATTTGTTATTAAAATCGACCAAAAACGCTATTTTTACTAAAATCGACCAAAAATACCAATTTTTATGAAAATCGACCAAATATATCAATTTTTAAAAAAATCGATCAAAAAGTCGTTTTTTAATTAGAATCGACCAAAAATACCAATTTTTATAAAAATCGACCAAACTACACGTTCCACCTGAAGACAAAAAGTCACTTAAAGCAGGAAAACGTAAAGGCATTACAATCGAGTTAAAAGCTTAACGTAATTCGATACTGTCGTTTCTAAAAGCCAACCGTCTTTTCCTTCTCTCTCCGTCTCTTCGCATTTCCGCTAGCCACAAACCTTTTTATCTCTGCACTCTCTCGGTCTTTCCACTTACTATAGTTATGTTTTAAAACTACGAAGTTAAATATTTTAAAATCTTTTGCCGAAAAATGAAAATTTTAGTGTTTTGAAATGATATTCAATACGATGAAAGGATACGAAGGATATGTCAATGTTGGAAGAGGATTGGTTTAACAAGTGATGCGGAGAATGGGAAGTTGGATTTGAAAATTATACAGCATTCAGCTTAACTAATCTTGTAAAAAGGCCAAGGCGAGGTTGTGTCTGAAGGGCCCGCTGTCAGGTCTACACTTAACCGTCAGCTTTGTTTTGTTGCCTTAGCCTGAGCCTATGCTTAAAATCTAGCGTAAGCTTGAGCTTAAGCCTGTACTTAAGTCTCAACTTAAGCCCAAGCCTTAGCTTTAGCCTAAGCCGTAGATTAAGCCCTAGTCTGAGCGCTAGTTTTGGCCTTACCCCTAACGTTCGTCTTACCTCTAGTTCTACCTCTAGCTATCTAGTCGCAGCCTTACAAGTTAGCATATGCCGTAGTGCAAGCTCGAGCCATCTTTAGTATCTCAAATTTTAACACTAGCGATTGTTTCAGGCAGAGCCGGAACCAAAATTGAAAAAAAGTCAGAGCCGAAGCTGGAGCAAGAGCTAGAAATTTGAAATTTAGAAACTCTGGTTTTAGTCATAGCAGTATAGAACCTTTCAACTTTACTCTGCTATGCATATTGATAACAAAAAAAAGTTTAAAATAAAAAACATTTTAGTCATCAAAAGAGAAGAGCCCGTATTTTACCAAATTCCCTCCCTCAGTCTCCCATCTCTTTTACTAACCCCCCTCCTACCACCCTCACAGAAATAAAGACCCACCCAAACATAAAGTTGGCTTTTAATTTCCTTACAAAGTGTATTTATGAAAATCGGGATGAGAAAGTTATAGAAAAGCGAGCTGAATGCCGCGAGAAAATCGACTCAAAAGTAAAATACCAAATAAAGGGAGACAATTCACATGGGTTTTATTGTGCCGACGATCCTGCTTATAAAATATTATTAAATTCGGATTTTGAATTTCTTAAATTTCAAAAACTTAAATTAAAAAAAATTTAAAAGTAGCCCTAGCCATAGCTTTGGCTCTGACTTTAGTCCTAGCTCAGGCTCTACCTTTCTAGCTCAAACTCAGGCTACACTCTAGCTTTATTATAGCCCTAAGCTTAGCTGTAGCCGTAGCTTCATCTCTTTTCCAGTTTCTAGCCCCATCCCCATTTATAGTCCCAGGCCTAGCTGTAGCTCTAGCTTTTAGTTGTAGCTCAGGCTCTGGTTCTATTTCTTTTTTTGGTTCAGATTCCAGCTCCTAGCTCTAGCTGTGACTCTGGCTCTGACTCTAGCTAAAACTTAATCTCAAACTGCAGCTCTAGTTGTAGCTTTAGTTCTGGCTTGGGCTCTAGCTCTTGTCTTGTTTTAGCTCTAGCTTTAGCACTAGCTTTAGCTCTAGCTCCAGCTCTAGCTCTAGCTCTAGCTCTAGCTCTAGCTCTAGCTCTAGCTCTAGCTCTAGCTCTAGCTCTAGCTCTAGCTCTAGCTCTAGCTCTAGCTCCAGCTCTAGCTCTAGCTCTAGCGCTAGTTCTAGCTCTAGCTTCAGCCCAAGCTTTCTCCATATCGCTAACCCTAGCTCCAGCTCTATATCTATCGTCTAGCTTTATTTCTAGTCCTGGCTCTAGCCCTAGCCAAAATCCTAAAAATTTTTAAAAATTTCAAATTTCAAAGTCTTCAAAATTTAAAAAATATTTTTAAAACTTCAAAAAATTTCAACCAAACAATCTCAAAATTTCAAAAAAAAAATCAAAAATCAAAAACATCTTTAAATCTGCCATTTCCCACCACAAAATCAAGAATAATCGCTCAAAATGTTAACCCTCCTGCTAAAGAAACATGTTGAAATGTCACCGGTTATGAAAACACTGAAACAAGTCGGTTTTTTCTTTTCTTGAACTAAATGTATAGATCAAACACATACAAATGCCATTCACCTTGCTAGCCGGAAGCAAACGGCTTTCACTTCAAAACGACTTTGAAACCGCAAAAAAAAGTTTTTGGCCAAAAGCATATTTAAAGAGGGAGATTTGCACTGATTTCGAAGTGATTTGCTTGACTTGGGATTGGCATAGAATGAGAATTGGCTTCAGAATAGTAAAATTAGCTATTACTAGCCATGGCCTTAGCTTTAGATTTGTTTTGGTATTAGCTTTAGCCTTAATTGTAGATCTAGCCTTAGCTTTAGTTATAGCCTTAGGGTTAGCCTTAGCTTTAGCTTTAGTTTCAGGCTTAGCTTTAGATTTGGCCTTAACTTTAAAATAAACCCTAACCTTTGCTTAAGCTTTGGCATTAGCTTTAGCCTTAATTGTAGATCTAGCCTTAGCCTTAGTTTTAGCCGTAAGGTTATCATTAGCCTTAGCTTTAGTTTTAGGCTTAGCTTTAGATCTAGCCTTAAATTTAAAATGAACCCTAACCTTTGCTTAAGCATAAATGTGAAACAAAACGTAAGTTTAAACCTAAGCCTTTGACTTGGCTTTATAACTCACAAAATATAACTAAAATTAAATGCATCATTAGTTGAAGCCTACAAACCACAACTAAACTTATTAACTAAAAAAGCTCAAAACCAACCACTTTTCAAACTATTAAATACTCAATAAAAATTCTATAAAATCCACCTTCTCTCTCTCAAAATTCCGTGCTATTTCCTCCGTGACACAATTCGAAAATTTTTAAAATAAAAAACAAATGCCTCAGGTGAAAGGAAGAAACTCGCTCTACTCAATCATCGTTTGCCTCAAAGTTTTGTTTCGCGATTATGGATTTTTGATCCGCACTTTGCCAGCCGGCTTTATGGTCTTCAACGTGTTTTATCATAAAGAACGGGGATAAAAGCATATAAAAATAGTAAAAGCACATAAATTTGAGAATGAATATGATGGAAAGTTGAAAGACACAAGGTAACGTATTTTACAAAATTAAAACAAATATTTATAAATTTTTTTTAAAAATTTTTAAAAAAATGTTAAAAAACGTTAAGTAGTACTACAATAGCAACAAGTAATCTTAAATTAAGCTTACTGTATGTTATAAAACAAAGATTTTTTAAAACCAGATTAACTTATTACATCATAAATGATACCTATTTTTTAAATATCCAAGTGGACACCAACGAAACCTAACTTTTTTGTGCAGAATAAGCTTGCGCATGAAAAATATGTACTGATCGGCACTATAAAAGACCGATGAAACTCCATCGAAATCAGTCTTAACTCGAATAAACATTTTCTTTGGTCGTATTAAGTGTTTTCTCCTGTATATATGTTTTTATTATCTTTAAGTTTTTTATGTTTAAAACAATATATGTGTTCATATCGTTCCGCGTTCTTCGTTCAAGGAAAGTTCTAGACGTGCCGCGCTCAGAATCAGCTCAAATGTTTTAAATAGATTCTTCTTTGTATTATAATACCTATAAACAAGTTTGCTTACGTTTTTATTTAAAATATTCACATAAACTGGAACTTTTGTATAACAAACTTTTGTAAAAAAACTTTCCTATTACAAAAAAAGGTTTAAATGCACTGTTTAGTGTTAGGTAAGAGTTAAGAATTGCTTTTATATAGAATTTTCGTTATAGAAGATTATGTTATACAAGATTTTCACTGTATGATTACTGAACATTTCGTTATATCATGTAAGTTTGTAAATGTATTTAAATCAAGGCTTTCGATACTATATTTTGTTAGATAGAATTCGGTATATGGCCATAAAAATTTTCGATCGATACTTTGATATTTTTCGATTTACACTTTGGTATTTCTAAAGTAAAGTTGGCTAACAAAAAAAGAAACAATTATCGACAAAATATCGAAAAAAAATCCAAAAAATTTCGATCGATTCCAATACGTATTTTTAGCCAAAAATAGTCGATATATTGTATTTGATCAATATATATTTTATTTATCGGAAGGCTTGATTTACATTGTAAGAGGTTTTAAAACTGCTTGTTAAAATAAACATTTTATGGGCTTTATAACATAATTTGGTATTATACTCAATATGTTATATATACATACTTGTTCTATAAAAAAGTTAAAACGTAATCAAAACACCATGTTCGTGTACTTTCCTCGTTAGTTTACAAGATTCGTGTACTATATAATAAATTATGTTGCAAATTTCAGCTTATCAACTTACAACCAAAGTTTTTTTAATTAAAAAACAAAAATGTCTTCAATTATTGAAATGTTGACTTCCTGTGAATTTGGATTCGGCGTTGAAGCCGACTGTTACAGCCGTCAGGGATTCAGGAGATCTCCAGGATTTCCAAAAATGGTTGAAAAAAGTCAAGGATTCTTTGACTTGGATACTCTGAATATTGATTTTGATTATCTGAGCAGTCCTCCGGCGGCGGCTAACATCGCCGAATGTAGTTTGGCCTGTGAGCAACGGTCTATTAAGAAGACCCTTGAAGAATGGGGCTGGCTGGAGCTCCTCAAGATCGACACTGGGGCTAACGGTGAAGAGCCTGAAGGGAGCCGCAGAATTGACACTGGGGCCAACGTTGAAGAGCCGGAAGCTGTTGTGGAAAAAGAAAGGCCTTGTTCAAGCAAGGCCAGTGATGAGACAAGCGACTCAGATGAGTGGCATGAAGTTAGATCAAGACGATCAAGATCGTCGACTAGTTCGGAGACGGACAGTAGTTCAACAGAAGGCAAAAACTACAAGACGATGATGTGTTTAAGTTATTTAAACAAAGGCTACTGCAAACGAAAACATTGCACTTTTGCCCACGGCAAAAAAGAATTAAGAAAGACAGAAGTGAGTCTCGTACAATATCTTATACATTGACAACATTTTAATCTTATAGTACTGGAGTTTCAACAACATGTTGCAACAATTTAACAGTATTAGTATTGATTTTTACTAACTATGGGCTTTGCTTTTACTTACAACTAAAATTTTAGAACTCGGCAAAGTATCACACAAAAGTTTGCATTAACTTTCAGCAAACTGGACGGTGCCAGTATGGAAAGGCCTGCACTTTTATTCATCGTAAATAATAATAATAATACATATTTTTAATAATAATCATACTAATAATAACAACATCAATAAACATTTATTATACAAATCCTTAGGCATATTTGTTAGTATTGGTATTATAGCTATAGGTCTAGCGTTTACTTTTTTTACTCTAAGTTTTTTTTTTCTTCTTTGACAATTCGTATCATACAGTAGTCTTCTCTATAGTGAACCATCTGTAAAAGCAATTCTGCTTATAGTAAACAAGAAATTTGACCCCGCCAAGCCAATTTGCACTAAAAAGTCTCTCTGTAAAGGCTCCACCCTTTATAGTAAACAAAAAATGTCGGTCCCTTCGGGTTGCTTATATAGAGAGAGTACTGTAATACCATTGATCTATTTGTTGAACAACAAAGACCTCAGTTTTTAGTTTCGTAGTGAAAATACACACGGAAACACTTTACAATGTAATTACGGTACAATTACCAGAAATCACTTCGTAACAAGTCACTTAAAAACGTCTTCATAAAAAATCACTCAACGTCCATAAAGTTAAAACTTTTTTCGAAAAGTTTCCGACGTTCGGTAAACACTTTACGGTTTGTTCTTGCCGTAACAACGTCTTTTCAAAATATAGGTTTTTACTGATTTTGGTGAATTGATTTGGGTTTTGTTTTGGGGTTTAGTTCATTATATATTGATTAGTGTTTTAATGGGTAGCGTAAGCGTAGTTTGACATATTCTTTAGTAATACCTTAACTTTTTGAGTACAAAAAGAGGCATCTTCATCTTGTGTGAAAGAAATCTAGTCCTTTTCTAAATTGGAATAAACATTCATTTTTTGTGTACAATTCGTGGCTATAACTTTACCATACAGTTTGTTATTATTGTCGTCAAGGCCGGGCGGGACTTTTGGTCTGGGGACATGGCCTACCCAATGTCACATGAGTCGAAAAATCCACAGGGGACCACGTTCAACTCTTCACAAAATTTTCGCGCCTGGCCATGATTGTCGTGTTATTTTCTGTGTATACAACACGTGAAGATGTTATTTATTAGTAGATTATGATTAACACATTCTGGGTAATAACCTTGAGCGTTATTTACGTTGTTTCTGGAGCGTTCGAAAAGCATCCGTCTTATGACTCACCAGTTGAAATAATCAGCCCACAGTCTGAAGAAGCTAAAGTGAGTTGGTTTAAAATTTTGAAATATTTAAAAAATTTTTAAAAAAGTTTAGAAAAATTAACAGGGGAGACTACGTTCAACTTTTTTACAAAAATAATTTTAATTTTTTACTACTTTTACATTTCCACCATTACAGAACGTAGTAAAAGACGCAGTAACCTACGCCAACGCTCTCCTCTACCCAAAGACCAAGCCTCGAGCTCTAGTCCAAATCCTCGAAGTCGCAAAACAAAATTCAAATGGAATTGACTACCAAATCCGACTAGTCCTCGGCACCTCGCAATGCCCAGACGCCAAACAACATTACTGCGGCTTGGGCCACATTGTTGATGTGGACATTGTGTACATGTTCAGAGCAGCTAAACCTTCTACGAAAGAGTCCAGATTCAGAGTGATTCAACTTAACCATGAAAGATGCCCAGCTCCAATTCAACATGCTGGCGCTTTTGGTCAAAGTATGATTCCTATTCCGGGCTTTGAAGTTGGACCAGTACCTGTTGGACAAAAGAGTGCACCAGAGAGTGCTGCTCCTGGATTTAGACAAGTCTCGAGGAACAATGAAGCGGTTCAGGAGATTGGAGGGGGTGGTCCTCCTGGATTGTAAAAAACGTTTTTTTTTAATTTTTAAAATTGTAAAAAATTTTTAAAAATGTAACATTGTAATAAAATTGACCAACGTTTTATTAGTTTATTGATGAGATTACAACAAACATGACATTATTAAAACATATTAGTCATCAGCACAAAAACAGTACCCACTGACATCACCTTTGTTGGGCTTTTTGCAAATTGTCTTGACATCGATAGCAGCACAACCACCAATCTCCTCACAATCGGAATCCTTCTTACAGCTCTGCATCTTTGAAGAGCCTAGCCTTGGCTTAGCGCTGATCAGGGCAACAATTTGAAGAACAATGAGCAACGTTAAAAACAGCTTCATATGTGCTATAAAGTATATACAGCCGTTGTCAAAAAAACAGGCAACCTATTTTTTTCAAGCATAACTTTTTTTTAAAAAGGTGTTAGAAACAAACAATTTTTTGTGATTTTAGATTGGTCTATTATACAACAAGCGCACCAACAATAGTTGTTAAATTTGTTAATTTTGAAAAGTTACAGTAATTCTACCGTACCCCTATTTTTCAACTATGTGTCTAAATTTTTTTTTCAAAAATCGGAGATATACGTTTTGTAGAGCATAAAAAGTTGTACATATTTTGTAAGTTTCATTACTTAATCTCTTTTACTAACCGAGTAACGATTTTTTAAAAATCTAAAAAACGGCTATTTTTCAATCGGAATCGAACTTTTCTTGTTTTTCGATCTTTTTTTCAAATTTTAAAAAATCGTATCTCGTTGACTAGATAAGATGAAATAATGAAACTTACAGAATATGTACAACTTTTTATGCTCTACAAAACGTATATCTCCAATTTTTGAAAAAAAAATTATACACATAGTTGAAAAATAGGGGTACGGTAGAATTACTGTAACTTTTCAAAATTACGGAATTTAACAACTATTGTTGGTGCGCTTGTTGTATAATAGACCAATCTAAAATCACAAAAAATTTTTTGTTTCTAACACCTTTTTAAAAAAAAGTTATGCTTGAAAAAAATAGGTTGCCTGTTTTTTGACAACGGCTGTAACAATGCTATAAATTGACAGAAGATATATAGGTGTTTGTTGGTCGTATCAAGTTTGAAAATTTGAGCAATGTTTGACCTTTTATACCCCAGTTTAAAATGGTTAATTTATTGATTTTCTAGACTTTTTTGAATTTTTAAATACAGTTAATCGTAGCTTAAATGTTTGAATAATGATTTAAAGTGTAGTATAGATGTAAATTAATGATTGATTTTGATTTTTGTATGTTAATTGAATTACTTTTGACAAAATGCATTTAAATTTTTATTACAATGGTTCTTAAATTCGAAAATGTATAATATAAACAATTACTTAATTTGTTTTCAAATTTTAAAATAGAATTTCAACGTGGCACTAAATTTATTTACAAAACAAAAAATGACAAGAACTTTGTTTACAAAACATAAAGAACAAGATCTTTCTTTACGAAACGTAAAATGACAAGAACTTTCTTTACAAAGCGTAAAACTAGCCTTTTTATATTTAAAATGGTTTTTGAAACCTAAAACACTCAAAATTTGAAATTGTAAGTTTTGCTTTTTTTTTTAAATTGTCGTTCACTCTATTATGCTATGTATCTGTTACGCTACAACGGAGTAAATTTGAATAGCGGTCACCCGTTGCGGATGGATCTTACTTAAAGCCGTTTCCTTTAATTTCGCACTCGGAATAATGGCAGCGGGTTAAATTGCCGATGAGATGAATATTCAAATTGGCAGGTAAGGAACACCATTTTATAAAATTTTTAACTAAGTGCGGTTAACGGGGTTTAAGTGGTCGGCTATGGTCATTTTTAAAAATGTTTTAAAATTTTTGATTTTTCATGTGTTGTAAAGAAAGTTTTTTGCCATTTTGTGTTTAGTAAAGAAGGTTCTTGTTACTTTATGCCTTGTAAAAAAAGTTTTTGCCATTTTTAAATTTGTAAACAAAGTTCTTACCATTTTAAGTTCTGTAAAGAAAGTTCTTGTTATTTTAAGTATTGTAAAGAAAGTTTTTACTATTTTATGTTTTGTAAAGAAAGTTCTTGCCATTTTATGTTTTGTAAAGAAAGTTCTTTCCAAAAAATTTATACGCAATGCATCACCGTTTAATTGTACTACCCTAAGTGCAAACGTAAATTTGATAGCCTGCGCGACGTATTTTCGAATATTTGACACTGAGTTGGTTCGGCTTTTAAGGCTGCCTTCCGCTTATTCTTTGTTCTGCTTCATCTCATACACAAACACTGCCTTCTGTCAGTGGAAGAAATGCAAATTAATTTTTAAATTTAGAAGATAAAATAGCACTGGGTGGTTAATAGAGTACGGTATGAAAAGTAGTTTAATATAATAGTACTAGCCTAAGTACTACTGGGTAATGGAAGATACGGTAAGGAAGGACAGGACTAGAATAGAGTGGAGTTTAAAGGAAGCTGTGTAGGTTTTTATGTAAGTTTTTAAAGCAGCGGTAACCAAGCTTGTTGTATATAGGACTAGGGTAGGTAAAACTAATGTGGGATACGCAAGGCACGGACACTGTGATCTGAGCTAGACAAACTCGGTGTATATAAATCGCACTGGGGTAGGACAGGCTAGTATATGCCTTGCCTTGCCTTGCCTATTAAAAATTATATTGCTTTTTTAAAATTATTGTCAATTTCTCATACTGTCGTAAAGTCCAGACCAAAAAGAAGTTTTTATTTTTGGCGTGCAATTTAGTATGAATCAGTTTTTTTCGCACGGTCGCTTAAAAAACAGGTCGTCATATCAACACGAAAAAAATAGAAAGTTTGGCAACGAACTTAGTGAGGATTTTGAGAGAAACAAAGGATGGATAATATAGGAAGGGTTTTTATTTGAGAAAGGTACAATTTTTGGCTTTGTAAAGAAAGTTCTTACTATTTTATGTTTAGTAAAGAAAGTTTTTGTCATTTTTTGATATTGTGAAGAAGGTTCTTGCCAAAATACTTTTTGTAAACAAAGTTCTTGCCATTTATGTTTTTAACTTAAATTTTCATAAAACTTGAAATTTGAAAAAATTTGAAAGCTGAGACAGATGTTATTCAAAGCCATCTTGAAGCCGGTGGATGAGTGTCTAATATGTTTAATTTGTTTGGTAGGCGTTTTTTACAAGCGGTCGTTTTGGTGGGTCAATTACGGGCATATGTTCGTATAATATTAAAAATTAAGATGTTTTTCGTATTTTAGACATACTAATAGCACGGTAGCGCAGGGCAAAGCAGGACAGAAAATAGGGTGGAACATGGTAGAGTACAGCCAGCCAAGGCAAGGCAAGGCAAGGCAAGGCAAGGCAAGGCAAGGCAAGGCAAGGCAAGGCAAGGCAAGGCAAGGCAAGGCAAGGCAAGGACTGGCTTGAAGGAGTATTATCTACCTAACTCATTCCTGCCCCTTCCCCTTTCTCCCTTTATAAAAATTTGTAGCGGGCCCAATACCCCTACTTTTTTATTGTTTTCATTTGAATTGGACCGCAATTTTATAGATCATAAACTTTCTTTACACTTTGGTCACCTGTTTTGGCCGGGCGCGGCAGATTTTTTGAGACAAATCGCTTTTCGGGATGTTTATAAAGCGATTTGTCACTCGCGCGAATATTATTTATGCTAAAAGTTCGCAGTATAGTCAATAAAATAATGGCATTATATTGGGAATATTGAGCTGGGAATCTGAGAGAAACTTGATTTTTGAAAATTTTCTGTTACTTCACGCATCGCTGTGTCTTAGCCCTAGGTTCAGCTATTGTGCAATTACAGTTAGAAAAAGGTTCACTAGACCCGGCTTGATCCTCGAGCTTAAATAAATGTAAAAATGGCTGGGCACGATCAAATGAGTCCGAAGGCGCGATTTGAATAAAGGCTCCAAGGGTCGGGCTTAGGCCCCGCAACGAAAGATTTGAATTTTAGAAAGGTACGGGGTGACCAATGTATTTCCGCAAGCCGGGGACTAAACTAAGTCCTGGCCGTACAACTGAGCTAAAAAATTGGGGTTGGCCTGCCTTTTTTACAGGTCTTATCTTCGCATTGCTCAACCGTAGCCCTAGCTCTAGCTCTAGCCCTAGCTCTAGCTCTAGCTCCTAGCTCTAGCTCCAGCTCTAGCTCCAACTCTAGCTTTGGCTTTAGCTCTAGCTTTGACTTTGGCTTTGGCTCTAGCTCTAGCTCTAGCTCTAGCTTTAGCTCTAGCTCTAGCTCTAGCTCTAGCTCTAGCTCTAGCTTTGGCTTTAGCTCTAGCTTTGACTTTGGTTTTGGCTCTAGCTCTAGCTCTAGCTTTAGATCTAGCTCTAGCTCTAGCTCTAGCTCTAGCTCTAGCTCTAGTTCTAGCTCTAGCTCTAATTCTAGCTTTAGCTCCAGCTCTAGCTCTAGCTCTAGCTCTAGCTCTAGCTCCAGCTCCAGCTCCAGCTCCAACTCTAGCTCTAGTTCTAGCTCTAATCCTAACTCTAGCCATAGAAATTTTATACAGTATATTATTCAGAATGTCCTTGTTTATTTTCAAGTCTATCTCACATTACGATGGATTAATTAAAACGTTGTTTTTCTTTAATCCCTCCGCTGTTGTTCTGGCATAACATTACGTATTGAATTAACAATACCGAGTTATTTGATACTTATCTATAGGTATCTGCTCTTGCATTCATTAGTTTATAAGATTATTTGGAAAATTTTACTGAAAAACATATTTTTCAAAAAATTTTGAACTTTTTTATTTTTTGGTTTGTAAAGAAAGTTTTTTCCGTTTTATGTTCTGCAAAAAAGGCCTTGCCATTTCAGAGTATGTAAAAAAAGTTCTTGCCACTTTTTGTCTTGTAAAGAAAGTTATTGCCATTTCTTGTTTTGTTAAGAAAGTTCCTGCCATTTTATTTTTTGTAAACAAAGTTCTTGCTTTTTTTCAAAAACAGTGTTTCTTGCCCATTCTTTATGCAAATATAATGTTGACGGAGTGACCTTTCCTAATGGCTTATCTGCCCTCAGTTTACACTATTGCGCCATTATTTGTTGGTCTTGCGTAATGAGAGAAGAGTCAGTATTATATTCCACTTTATCTTAATGTAGTGGGTATTGTTCTTCAGTCTATGGCTTTGAGTTTTATTTTTACAGTAACTTTCTTGAAAGAACATACAATGGCAAGAACTTTCTTTACAAACCATAAAATGGCAAGAACTTTCTTTACAAAACGTAAAATGGCAAGAACTTTCTTTACAAAAGATAAAATGGCAAGAACTTTCTTTACAGAGCTTAATTTCTGCTTCTCAGCGTATAACTTGCCAATTGCAGGCTGCAATTTTTTTATCTTTTCGCTTAAAAATGCCATTTTTTATGAACTACCATGCCCAACATATAACATTTTTATTGTTTGTTTATATTAATTTACAATCCCTTAACTACCTCCAATAAATTTGCTTTAACCCCCATTAGCTACAATAACCTTGTCTGCGCTCTCTCACTTTCGCGTGATCTTTCCTCTGATCTATGTAATCTGTTATCGCGATCTCCGGCTGACCACGACTGGGTTAAGGCCGATAAATGGGAGCGGTCAGTGCTAAAATTAATGAACTGAAATTGTTGGAAACGACCTCTCAGTTTACTCAACCATTAGACGGCTTTAATGGGGCACGGACGGTCATTGCGGTTTGGGTTATCAGTAGGAGTAGGATAAGGCAAATCAGGATAGGGAAGAACAGAGCAAGGCATGGAAGGCAAATTTGTACAAGATAGGGTAGGGTAGGGTAGGGTAGGGTAGGGTAGGGTAGGGTAGGGTAGGGTAGGGTAGGGTAGAGTAGGGTATGGTAGAGTAGTACATTTTGAATAAAAAATTTTTTACATTTGGTAGCGGGTCGTTTAAAAATTTTAAAAATTTTAAAAATTAAATAAAAAAATTCGTTTTTTAAATTTTGAAGAAAAAACAAATTAGATTCTACAGTATCCAAGAGTCTCTGCTTATACTATTCCTTGTCTTACTCATGCTTTAAACTTCTGAAATGTCTTTAAGATCGCCTTGAATAGCCTCGTGTTGTTCAAATTATCCAAGAGGTGTTCCTAAACCTAAAAATCACCTATAGGTTGATAAAGTGATAAAAAACGTTAAGGTCAAAAATGAATGTTTATCAAGAACAAATATAATATAATTTTTTTTTGTCATAATAGCATAGTTGATAAGATACGCCTATAAGACCTATAAGTGCTTACATTATGGCTTCTAACAAGGCCAAGCTAGGCATGAGGAACAGGCTGGGCTTCACTTCTAACAGAGCCAAGCTTGACATGAAGAACGGGCCGGGCTTAACTTCTAAGAGAGCCGAGCTAGGCATGAGAAACGGGCCGGGTCTCACGAAAGTTTAGGTCAGGCTGGGCTTGAGAATAAAGGCCCGGCCCGGTTCCAACGTAAAAAATTTGGGCTTGGCCCGTTCCTAATGTCTATGTCACGGACGGGGGGCTAGCGTCTGAGAAGATTGAGAGGGGAGAGTCTATCAAACCGTAAATTCAAACCACCCTCCCTCCTCCCCCAAACGTAAATTTTTTTCAATAATTTACAGGGGGACGTTTGACTTTTGTTGATTTTTTTTGGGAGGGAATAATTTTAAAAAAAAAATTTTAAACTATTGAAAACTTCTTTTAAACCCTACCTCTCCTTCTCAAAACTCTCTTTCCCCCGCCCCCCATTTTTTGGATTAAATAAATGATTAACGTTATAAACTGTCAGTTTGATAAATTATAAAGTGATGGGCAAATGGTGTTTTTATGAGGGATAATGTTTTAAAATTACTTGCAGCGACGTTGGAAAGTGACAACATATACGATTTGGGGTTATTATAGCATATTGTTTTGGTTGGGTTTTAAGTGGATTATATTATTATTGTTGATTTTGACATTTTTGGTTGATTTTGGGGTTGTAAAGAAAGTTTTTGCCGTTTTACGCGTTGTAAAGAAAGTTCTTGCTATTTTTAAGATTGTAAAGAAAGTTCTTGCAATTTTAGAGTTTATAAAGAAAGTTGTTGTCATTTTATGTTTTGTAAAGAAAGCTTTTTGCGATTTTTTCAAAGTCTGTCATAAATGACATTTTGACAAGTTTTACCTTTTTAAAATACGATACCACGACCATCGTAGCCATTCTTAACCTTATAGTATCAATCATTTTTACCTTCACTTTTGCCCTTCTACAACAACCTTCTGTTGTCCATCCCACCTCCTTTTCTCCTCTCCATACCCTTTGATCTCAACCTACGGTTGCGCTTATTAGCACCAGATTCAAGTGCGCAAAACTTTTTCTCGACTAGCTTAATATATCAGGTAATCGGTGGCGACGCGTGCCTAAAATAATATTTTTGAAAGGCGATGCCGCTCTTTACGAACTCTCGGGATGGCTGACTTTCAATGCCATTTATTATTGTGATCGATGCTGCGGGTACAATGTGGTTACAATGAAAATGATTTTTTGTTTTGAATACACTGATTTTTTTAGGCTAAGGCTAAGGGCTAAGGCTAAGGCTAAGGGCTAAGGCTAAGGCTAAGGCTAAGGCTAAGGCTAAGGCTAAGGCTAAGGCTAAGGGCTAAGGCAAAGGCTAAGGCTAAGGCTAAGGCTAAGGCTAAGGCTAAGGCTAAGGCTAAGGGCTAAGGCAAAGGCTAAGGCTAAGGCTAAGGCTAAGGCTAAGGCTAAGGCTAAGTCTAAGTCTAGGTATCATCTTCTCATAAACCTTACCCATCCCCATTACTACCATTAAGATGTTATCATTGAGCAACATCCGTCACATCAACAAAAGTCTGTTAATTGTTCTTTTGTTTCCTGGCAATTGCTTCTTGCGTGTCGGCGGCTAGCCTTTTGCCGGTGTCAATGATCCATCGAAACATGTGTTCGTGGGCTATTTGGGTAGAACATCAATCGGTCACTTTCGGGTTGACAGTAAAAATGCAAATATTTGAGCAGATGCGCGCCAGTCAATAAACACACACCCAAATCAACTCTTGGCGGACTGGGTTTGGCTGCAGGTTTGGCTAATTTGGTGGTTTTATGAGGAGTAGAGGCAGGTAAAGGTGAACTTACGGAGAGGAGGGGGGGGATGGAGATGAGTGGGAAGGAAGAAGTGGATTTTTTTAAGCAGACTGAGTTTTTTATTAAGAAATATTAAATTTCGTGTTAATGTAGAGAGAGGGTGGGGAGGAAGGAGGGGTATTTTTTACATAACAAAGGCTAGGATTTTGATAAGGGAGGAGGTGGATGCAAAAAGCGATTTCTTATATTTGAAAGTGTTTTTATTGGCAATTGACGTTCAAAAACAAAATTGAGGATGTGAGTGGCGGGCGGGGCATTTTTTTATCGCTTTTTTGGTACGAGGGGGGGGTTGAATAATAAAAAATTTTAAATTTTTTTTAAAATTTTTTATAAATTGACCATTCAAGCCATTTTCAACTTTTTAAAAAAAAATTTTATTCCTAACCCCCTCTCCCTCCCCCCACACCCGTTTCTTCGTCCTTCTGCCTTTGTCTTACTCGTTCTTCTTACCTCATTCCTCCTTCTGTCTCGCCTTTCTTTCATTTTTATAATGCTTTACGCCCTACCCTATTATACCCTACCTTACTCTACCTTACCGTACCCTATCCTACCATTGCTACTGTCTCCCCCCCCCCCACCTCCCCAATTTTTATGGTGAAGATTCACCTTGTACCCTGATTAACCTTTTCCAAATCGCGTTACCTTTTGCACCTCCGACAAACCCGCCCGTTTTGATGTTGTTATGTTTTTAATATCAGATCTACAAAAACGGTTTTATCGCTTTCGGTGCCGCAAACGAAGCAAAACCGTCGGTTTGGCGGAACCGGAAGGATGACACTTTCCGCTGTTAGACAAACTTTTTTGCCTCTTTCGGTCGTTTACAATGCGAAACGGCGGGGGATGTAAATCTTGGGGTGGATTGGGTTTGGGTTGTTGCGATTTGGTTTTGATTGGAGTTTTTTCTTGGGCGTGGACTTTTATTGGGTGTGAGCTTCTCTTTTTGAGATTGGGCTTTTCTTGGGCGTGTTTGTTTTTGGGCATGGGCTTTTCTGGGCGTGTTTGTTCTTGGGCATGGGTTTTTTTGGGCATGGACTTTTGTTAAGCGTAAATTTTTTGGGAGTGGGCTTTTCTTGGGTGTGGGTTTTTCTTGAGTTGGGCTTTTTTTGTGCGTGTTTGTACTTGGGCATGGGTTTTTATTGGTCTTGGGCTTTTCTTGAGTGTGGGTTTTACTTTAGCTTGGGTATTTCTTGAACGTGTTTGTTCTTGGGCATGGGATTTTTATTGCGTTGGCTTGTCTTGATTGCCAGTTCTAGGGTAGATTTCATAACATTAGTTGTTGTTGTGAAATGTTGATGGCAAAAGGATATATTTTTAGAAAAGTTGAAAAAACGACTAATTGGAACGGCAAGGATAGACAGTACTGTATGTAAGCTCTGGATTTCCTTTTTTTTGATAAGGGCTAAAGGCATTTTTTATCAAAATTGTTGCAATTTGAAGAACATAAATGAATGAATTTTGAGTTTTGGATTTAGCAGTCTGCAAGTGATAAATTATACGACAGCTTTCATTTTATGTATTTTAAAGAATGTTCTTCCCATTTTATGAATTGTAAAGAAAATTCTTGCCATTTTATGTATTGTAAAGGAAGTTTTTATCATTTTTTGCTTTGTAAAGAAAGTTCTTGCCATTTTTTGCTTTGTAAATAAAGTTTTTGCCATTTTATGTTTTGTAAAGAAATTTTTTGTCATTTCCTCAATTTTTTTTATTTTTGATTTTTTTATGCCATTTACATTAAATCGCGTTATTTTTTTCCACTATCTGTCAAATATTTACCTAAAATCACATTCTTTAGACTTTTAAATAGAAAAAAAACAGAAGAGTATATGAAGCAAACAGACTAGTACAATGGCCAATATTTACGGCACTCAACGCACAGTTTGCGCCCATTCGGACAAAAGCCACTTGGTCAATTGTTCGAGTAGTTCATCGACCAACTCACCGACGTATTATGACGAAAGAGTGTATCATGAGATGTAAGTCGATTTTTAGTTTGGGGGTGGATTTTAAAATTTTTTTTTTAAATTTTTGAATTTCTTGATGGGTAGGGGTAATACCAAGGTCAAAGTAGTGCGTTTTGATCGAAAAAATTTCATTTTGGGAGTGTAAATTTTAAAAATTTAAATAATTTCAAAAATAAAAAAAAAATTTTTTTTGTTTTAAAAACTTTAAAAAGTGTAAATTTGCTGCCTACAGTACCCAAAAACCATGTTTTATATCATGCCTTACCTTTGTTCTCCTTCAAGCCTCTTAAACCCCCTTAAAACCACCTTGAATAACATCGTGTCGTTCCCATTAGCCATAAAGAAAGTCTCCGCCGACAAAAGCCAAAGTCAGTCGGAAGCGAACTTTAATGTTGGAAGTTTTTGTAAGCACTTGAACATCCCATTATGTCAATACGGAACATGAAAGCGGTCAAGTAATGCGAAAAAGTTGCCATCTTGAGGATCGACGCGTGTTTTTCTTATGGAATTAAGGGGAAATTCAATTTTTTTCTATTTTGAAGTAGTGGGAGGGGTAGGGAGAGATAGGTGAGGAAGTATGCAGAGGAAAAATTGTTTAAGTTAAGGTGAAAAATAAGGGGGGAGGGGGGGGAATGAAAATTTTTTTTATAATTTTTAAAATTTTTGAAAAATAACAGGGGGGACCACGTTCAAAAATTTCGAAAAAAAAATATTTTTGTTGGTTGTGTGAGAAGAGGGGGCAGATAGGGATGGGACTAAATAATAACTATAAATTAGATGTCTTTTTAAAGACATAGTCGAAAAATGGCAGTATTAAGTTTGTTTAAAAATGACAAAGAAATCAAAAAAAAGTTCGAATCTTTTTGAAGAAAAGAAATAACTTTGCTTTCTTTAATCGACTGAAACTTTTTTATATGACAACTTTTCAAAATGTATTTTTAGGGCATACATAGTACGTGTGATGCTCTATAAACGCGCTAAAGTAGATATTTAATTTTTGTGTTAAAAGAAGTTAAAAATTGATTTTATTTTGATTATGGCACAAAATTTTGGAATTTTATGTTTTTTGATTTGTGACAACTTTTTTGTAGGACAACCTTTTTTGACGATCTCTTTTGCTATGCATAGCACGTTTTGTGCTCTATAAACGTGTTAATTTAGAAATTTTAGTCTAGTGTTAAAAAGTGGATGAAAATTGATTTATCTTGCATATGGCCCGAATTTTTTGAAATTTTCTATCATCATGTTTTTTAAGTGAGTTTTTGTATACTTTATGGCATTTTATGACAATGACAACAAT